AGGAAGGACGAGAACAAGAACCCTGTGCAGGAACGAGCCCTTGTGGTATGTGACAGCTGAATGGAATGAGAGAAAATCATCTGCAGTTGATAAGGGTAAGAATGATACATGATTTGCTTAAAGGTCATGGATGAGAGGGCTGGGATTGGAATTTCAGCCTTCTGACTAGTCACCCATTGTTTTTCAGCTTTCTGCATTTATGCTCATGTGAAAATGCACAGAGAGCACAGATGCCATCATAGAAGCACCAGGGAAATTTTGTCTGCTTCTGTCTCAGCTAGTTTAGTATTGTGTCTATAACCCTCCTGGCATCTGGTCAGACTGCCTCAGTTAGGGCCGGGAAATTCTCTGGAATTTTGGAGACATTTGTACACAGTTTCTTCCTTGAAAGAAACTGTTAGGACTTTAGAAACCATGAATAGAGGTCAGTGTGTTTAGACAGCCCTGATAAACTGCTCTCAAGCAAAGATCAAACTGACTACAGTCAGTTTTCCTTTACTGTAATAAATACCTGAGATAAATCAACGTAAAAAGAGGAAGGTTTCATGTTGGCTCACAGTTCTGATGTTTTCAGTTGGAGATCAACTGATCCTGTTGCTTTGGGTGCATGTTGTGTGGTAAAGCAGAGCTGCTTACTTCATGGCTGAGAAGTAAAAGATAGGAAGTGGCTGGATTTCCACTAACCTCTTAGAGAGCACATCCCCAATTCAATGTGCTAAGTAAGGACTCCCACTGGGCCCTGCCCTCTTAAAAGTTATGCCACTTTCTAATTGCACTAAGCCCAAGCCAAGCCTTTAGGACACTGGCCTTTGGGGGAATCGGAAGGGTCATGTGAGTGTCCCAAACTACAGCACAGCCTGATTCATTACTGCACAGTCTGGCACAAAATTCTTTATATTGAGTTGATTCCTGCCTCTATCCACCTGCTCTTTTAGCCATATCCTCTGGTCTTGCATGAATTCGTTTTTTGCTCTTCTAAATGAATTTTCCAAGTTCTCAAGCATCACTCACTAACCAAGCCTTATTATGTACCCATGTTCCCATCCCAGGTTCTCCTATTCAAGTTCTGAACATTTTTGGTCCTTCTACATCTTTATTGCCCTTCCCTGGACTATCTGTAGCTTTTAAAACTTTAGATCCCTCTCCTCCCTTCTAAATCCTCAGGCCACTTGTTTAAGAAGACAAATCTATTTGGGTCCACAGAGAAACTAGTTGTGTCCTATGGAATGTAAGCGTGATGTAATAGTTATACCAATTATACTAGTAACAATTTACATACTTACCAAGGAACGCCTGCATCCAGTGTCACAGAGGATTTCAAATTGCATGGAAGTGGTTACCGGAACATTGCTGAGCTGTATTTTCAACTCAAATGGAAACAATATGCAAACACCCTCTCACCAGTTTCAAGCACACTTAGGACACTGATATCTCTTCTATCTTCACTCTCCCTAAAACTTACACAGTGTTTTCAAATAAGCCAGACTTATAGCAATAGCAACTCTCTGAGTTGGATGCCATGACAATTTCTAGTTTTCTTGTGAGGAAACTGGAGTCCAGAGGAGTTATGGACCTACAAGTGGCAAAGCTGTTATTTACCTCCACGCTAGTGTCCCCTGCATATCTCAGGATTAACTGATTAGTGAATTTTGGGAACTAACTAGTGAATGTGAATCCATCTCCCAAAGCATGCCCATCATTTCAAATCCACTTGACTCCTGTGACAGTAACATGTTGAGCAACAGAAGATCCTAATACAGATTGACAAATGATTCAATTAGCAACCCCTGGCCCTGTCAGTTTTTGAGTCCCAGGTAAGATTGGATGATTTTGAGTCCTGCAGTGGGACTGCCCCTGGGGATGCAGTCCCTCTGGCCTGGGGCCTGCTGCAACCAGGCCACCTCTATCTAACCTCTGTACACAATTGGCCTCTCCTGTCTGGCTTGGAACATCCATGTCTACTCCTTCTACCTTTCTCTCCAGGAGAGAACTAAGTGCCTCTTTTTAATCTACTGCTCTTAGTGAGGCCCTGGACACTAGTGCTTCAGTCCTTTCTTTGAGGCTATGGCTTTTTCCAGGAGGGGCTGGGCCAAATGGGACCCACCAAGTCCAGTGGTAGATGGAAGCTATACCAAGGTCAGCCACACCCTGGGACAAGCCCTGCAACGTAAGAGGGTTTTTTTTTTTTTATTATTATTTCTATACCAATGGCTCTGCACTGGGGGTGAATTAGAGTAGAATGAGCGCTTTCTCAGGTTGAGACCTGCAGCAGCTTCTGGCAAGGAATAATGTGAGAGTAATGTGAGTAATCAGAGCTCTAACCTCTATTTAAGCCAATACCAAGAGAGATTTGCTGGCACTCTAGAACTGTTCCTATTGCTGTTTGGATCATAATTTATTTGCATACAGCTCTATTATCTTCCAGGAAAGGGAGATAGGAGACTTTAGATTGGGTGCTTGACAAAGATTCTGGACTATTAAATTAGGACATTAGGAGTTCTATTTGTATTAAAGTCTCCAGGTCCTTGGAAGAAACTGTTAGGACTTTAGAAACCACTAATAGAGGTCAGTGTGTTTAGACAGCCCTGATAAACTGCTCTCAAGCAAAGATCAAAATGAGGTCTACTGACCCCTGGTGGGCCTTGGCCCTGGGAATCTGGACCTCACATCCAAGGGTCAGTGCTTTAGAGTTGGAAGAGGGCTCTGGATATGCTGGAAAAGTGTCCACCACTCAAGGAGCTCTCTAGTCACTTATGCAGGAGAACTTGGCATAAACTCCTTGAGCCATGAGAGAAGCTTTCAAAAGAAAAGCTGGGATTCTTTTAAAGAACCGAAAGTTCAACTCTTGTATATCTGTTCAGAAACTAGGGGAAATCCTCCACCTGTTATTGGAAGCAAAGAGCAAATTAGGTAAGACAGGAACCCCTAGAAATTAAGGGTAGGGTAGGCTGCAGTGATGGGTGCTTTGAGTCCCACAGTGAGAAGAAGGTGGAGATGAGACTAGTGACAAGGCAGGGACTTAAATTGGGGTTCTCTTAGCAAAATAAAAGTAGAGCCAAATATTTCTGCCATTCCATCTATATCCTGGAGTACTCAGAAGCCTGGATTGACCCACAGGAAACAAAGGACACTTTTTATTTTGTAATAATTTTAAACTTAATGGAGAAGTTGCAAAAACCATACAGCGAACTCCTTCCTCAAAGGAACTTCTTAACTAAACTAAACGTTTTGCTCATTGATTTTTATCATTTTTTTATTGATCTATCAATCCAAACACATGCACGAGTCTATATTGATATGGATTTTTTCAGTCATTTAAGAATTGATTACAGACATCTTGCCTCTTTTATTTCTGTGTGCCTTTAAAATTGATCAGTGTACCTTCCCTGTAAGGAAACAGTTTCTTACATAACCACACTTCAGAGATCAAAGAAACTTAACATTGATATAACACCACCATCTAAACCATGATCCCTATTCCGATTTCATCCCTTGTCCCAATGGTGCCCTTTATAACTAATTACTTCCCTAATCCAATACAAGCATTAGCCAAACTATTAAGTTGATCCATTTTTTTTTCTCTCTTTAACCTGGAGTGTTTCCTCAGTCCTTTTCTTTCTTGACTTTGAAAGCTATTTTGTAAGATTTCCTCAATTTGATGTTMTTTGACATTTCCTCATGATTAAAGACAAGTAATGCATCTTGAGCAGGACTGTTGAGATTTGCTCTGTCCTGTCCGTGTATTGTAAAACAGTTACAGGATGTCATTTTTTYCCCCCCAAATTGGTCATGTTAACTTTGATCACATGGTTCACATGAGTCCACCATATTTCTCCATTGTAAAGTCATTTTTTCAAAGGTCACATTTCTCAATGTTTTTTAATTAATGCATTATATTCATATATAATGGTGGAATTCCTTGTTACATATTTGTTCATGCACATGACATAACAATGTCATTTGGCCAGAATCATTTCCCAGTATTTCCACTTTTCCTCCTCTCCTCCCTTCCGTGGTGGTCCCTCTACTGATTTCCCTTTGATTTTCTCGAGATTCCCATTCACCCCACAGTTCTTTTCCTTCTCTAGCTTCCATGTGAGAGAAAACAAACAACCTTGACTTTCAAGTTTGGCTTACTTCACTTATAATGTTCTAAAGTTCCATCCATTTTCCTGCAAGTGACATAATATCATTCTTCTTTATGTCAGAATAAACTTCCATTGTGTATATATACCACATTTTCTTTATCCATTCATCCACTGATGGACACCTAGGCTGGTTCCATAGTTTGCAAAGGCTACAGTTTTAAATGGCATGAGCATAAACAATAAAAATACTTCATTTCTATAAAATGAATTGTTGCCTCTCTACTTAAATCTTTTCCACCTTGTCTTCATGACTAGGAGAAAGGTAGCTGCTTCCCAGCTGTGGAATGTCCCAGAGGTGTGTTAACATGACTTTTATGTGCCRCACATTTCCATTAGGTTTAATTGGGTCACTATTTCCTTGATCTTTTCGATCTTTTGAGCACATCACAAGAAAGACTCAGTTGGGTGCAAGATTYATCTTGAAAATCTCAAATATAGTTGCTATTCGTTTTTCTTTTAAACAAAGAAAGCGAAGGTCTTGGTTCAGAGTCTCTGTAGACCCAGGATAGTAATTCAATAGCGTTTCAGAAGAATTGCATTTATTTTGACCTCCTCTTTCCTGTAACATGAAATTTTCATTACAAGAGTTTTCTCTTAAAACTCTTTAAAAAGCCAAGTTAAAGACCTGAGCCAATTTAAGGAAATTCCACGAACGTAAAGAAAACTGTTAGCCTTGGARATTTGGTGGCCCCGCGCCAGCCCTGGTCGGGGTTCGGATCCGTGCGGGCCGGGTCGGTGSCCCAGGCCGCGCACCCTCCTGCGCTCACAGCTCAGCGCCCAGCGACCCGGAGGCGCCGCGCATGCGCGCCCGCGACCTGCGGCTGTTTGGCGTTTCCGTGGCTACGAAGCCCCTCAGCCAGGGATCCGAGAGCGAGAAAATGAAGCTCAAGAGCCTCCTGCTCCGGTATTACCCTCCAGGTACGGGCCCCGCCCTCACTGGGGCCCCGGACTCCCAWTCCCCCGGGTCTGGGGCGGAGGAGGGGGCCGCGGGGTCGCTCCCGGGCGGGTCGGGAAGTGTGATGAGTCCCAGGTTGAGCCCCTCACTCTGGCACACGCCGGGCTCCGGTCCTCACAACTTTTAAAGTGACTTTAGAAAGTCTTTAAACTTTTAAATGCCATGTGGCTGGGTTCCCAGGAACCAGGTGGGATGGGGCCTGAGAGGTGTGACAGGGGGTCTCCTGGGGTATTGGTTTCTGGAAGGGAAGACCAGGGAGGGACCATGCTGCCTTTTATTTTAAACCCTCCAGAAGGATCAAGTCAAGGTGCACRGAGTCTGAATAGGAAAATGCAAACCCAGGGAAGCATATTGAGTTGGTGAATGTATTGGGTCTGGGCTTATCCATCCACTGTGTGCTCCTTCCCAAGAGGCTTTAAAGAAGGACCTAGTCCTTGACCCCAGTGAGTGAGATAACCCCATCAAATGCTATACTTTTAGAGTAAGGTATTCTCTTCTAGTCCCCTTGTTTTGGAGGTGAGGACCTGGTTGCATGTGGAGAATATGGGGAGCGCACTGATCACCCAGCTTGTTAGGACTTGAAAACTCTTTTGACTTTTAATTCAGAACTCTTTAAAAAGAAGAATATGAGATAAAACCTTGCAAAACTTGCCCCAGAGCAAGACATGACCAAAGTACACTTGCCCAGTGTGAAGTTTGGATAAGAAGTGGCAAAAAGATTCCAAAAGAGGGAAGGATCTCTTTGGACCAGTTTGATTTAAGGTAGCTTTATGAGAGGTGAGACCCGAAGAACTCAAAGGTGAATGTCTCACTTTTCCCAGCAGTGCAGCCAGCTGTTTGGTTAACCTCAACCAGAAGGTCTGACAGAGCTCACGGTTCCTTGATCCCGTTCTGATTTTGTTGCTTTCTCAGACTGCGCTCTGTCAGTTGATGGCATCATCACCATGCATCTAGTTTCTCTGGCAGGAACTGGGCTGGTCTTTTTTTTTCTTCTTTCCTGGTACTACCTCACCACCACTCCACACTCTCTTTCCCATTCCATCAACAGATTCTGTCAAAATATTCTGTGAATCCATCCAATTGTTCCCTTTTCCATGGCACAGTTTTCTTGATGTAACGCCCCTTCCAACTACCGGCCTAGTCCAGCCCTCCATTCTGGCAGTCCCCACCTCTTGCTGGACTTCTTATGGTCCTGGGTTTCATGCTTATCCTTTGCAATCTGTCAGTCATCAGCAGCCAGTGAAATCTGAATTAAACATCTCCCATAGTCTCTGGTTATGATGAGAATAAACTATGTACTCTGCCGGATTTGGCCCTGTCTGCACTGTTGACTTCTAGAACCTTGGTCTTCCACACTCTGTATACTTCAGACTTCTTTTACTGTTTCTCCAAGACTTAAGCAGGGTCTTTCACTCACTGTTGTCATTCTGGACCTCATGTTCCTGAGGCCTTGGAATGCCTGTCCTCTTATTTTGGTTTCAGTCCTTGTCACCAGTCCAGAGAGATCTTCCTTTACCATTCATTCAAAGTAACCCCTCCCTGATTTTTTTTCTATGCCATTTGTTGTTTTTACTGTATTCATCATCATCTGACACTAGTTGACATTTTAAATCTTCACCTCTTTGTCATAGAATGCAAACTCCATGAGAACTAAGACCTTGTGTCTTTTGTTCACTGCTGTATCTTTAGCTCCTGAAAAGATCCTGGGATGTAGAAGGCATTCAGTGTTTGTTGAGTGGATGCACAAATGTGGATTATGAAAGAGGTCAATCCAGGCATGAAACTGATGTGAATAAATGTTGGAAAGCTCAAGGGATGCGAGAGGCGGCCTGAGTGGCCACTCTCCCCAATGTAAAGTTCATATTTGTGGAAAAGATACTCATTTTCTCCCTTAGAGTTCCAACTAAAACAACATGCAAATGCTCTAGATAGGAAGGAGTAGCATAAAGGACATTTTAGCTTAAGAATAATAGCCTGTTTTTCTTAAGCAATCCCAATTTTCTTTTGCCTGTGCTCACATGTGAGCCAGGACTATTTCCCACAAATCACCTGATAAATGAATGCCTTTCCTTTGTTGAGGAGTACAGGTTAGAAATGTGGGCTCTGAAGACTGAATAACTGACTCTCACCATCTACAATTTTCCCCTTGGGCAATTTGTTTTGATCTGTGAGCTGTCAGCTGGATGGTGACAGTGCCACTCACCTCATAGACCCTCTGGTCCCTTCCTGCTGCCAACCCACTTGCCTTCTCCCTTCAGAGTAAACCTCCCTGAAAGAATGCTTCCTCCAAGCTCTCTCCTCTTTTCTGCCTGGAGTTTACTCCTATCGTTCTTTTGGTTACTGCCCCCCTGACACTTCACTGTTGAAGATCCCCGGTGACCTCCATATTGCTGCGCCTAGTGGCCACGTCTCAGCCCTCACCTTTCTTGGCCTGACAGCAGCATTCCACCTGTTTGACCGTGTGCCCGCCTTTGGTTTCTGGGAGCATGCTATTTTCCCTCCTGCCCCGCTGTCTCTCCTTGGTCCATCTTGTTCTCATCTCTCAGTGTTGGTGGAGGCCCCAGATCTTTGCTCGTGGACTTCTCTTTTCCATCCGCACTCATTAGCTGGGTGCTCTCATTTATTCTCACTGCTGAAGAGTCATCCTAAGTAGTCCCTCCCATGTAGCTCTCAGCTCGACACTTTCCTGTGGGTATCCAATGTGCATCTCGCGTGGGGCGGGGTCCTCAGTTGTTCCCCCGTCTCAGTGAACTTCCACTTGGCTCTTGCCAAGATTTTGGCCTCATCCTTGTCTCTCCTTTCAGACACAGCGTCTGATCCCATGGGAAATTTTATTCTGTCAGTACACTTCAGAAATCCATGTGGACTCCAGGAACTTCCCCCACCCCTCACTGCTATGACTTCTCCCTTCACCGCATCTCAGCTTGTCTCATCTCAGCAGTGGGATGACTGTTGGAGCGTACATACCCCTCCACTGCCCTCCACAGGCTTTTTCTCTCACCTGCCGCCTTTTGCCTCCAACCCCCATTTCCCGACATTCCTCTAGCAGTACTCCTCATCTTGGTGGGCCTTGGATGGCCAGGTGTGTCCCTACTTGGGGCCTCTGTAAAACTGGCACTCACATATTTGTTGAACAAGTGCCTTTAATGAGATGGTGTGTGTTAAGTAGAATGCCAGAACCCTCCCCAAAATGTGGACAGGTCAGATAAGTGACCTCCATGTCTGCTCCAGCTCAAAATCAGTGGTTCTAGTGATGATCTCAGTAAAGATTYAGATTCAGGCTTGCAACTGTTTGCTTTAATGATTATCTTATAATGAGGTGCTATTACTTACATACTTAGATATTTAATTCATGAATTCCAGTCTTCAGTGAGCCACATTATATGCAAGTTTTCAAGATACTAATGAATAGCGGGTGGGTGTTTCAATAACATTATCAAATAGGAAAAAAAAACCCAGTTACCATGGGCCTCATTATCACGCTTCCTTTATTACTTCTGCACAGACAGCAATTAGAAAATTCTCTGATTGCAGTCCTCCCACTGACTTTGGAATGACATAGGTCTGGAACATTCTTTTGTTAGCATCCACTGAATTAGCCTTCTCCCTATCTGAATTCCAGGTGACTGAATGTAAATAGCAGTGGTGTATGGCTGAGCAAACACAGGACATTCCCCCTCTATCTTGGGCATGTTTAACTCATGAAGTCAGGTTCATGAAGCGGTGAAGGTGCTGACTACGTGCCTTTCCACTGACTCAGTTTTGTCAACCTTTGCCTTTATTTATTTATTTATTTTTGTATGCAGTCCCTAGTTCTTTGGCCAGGAAAAGGAACTAAGTAGACATCAGTTATTCTGAGCACTTTAAAGGCTTTCCTTGATCTGAGTAAAGGATACTAATAACTACTGAAGCGTAGCCTTTGAATACAGTGCAAAATGTTGAGGGCAGAGGCTTCTTACCTAAGTGTTTTGAGAATTATGCTTATTGACTCTTTGTCCTCGACTAAGAGAAGATCAAGAATGTCAGGAGGTTTGGGACGTGATCACTGAGGGAAGACAAGACACACTTGCATCAGCATCTCTGTCTTGTTTTAGTTATATTCTATACAGCACCTGTCACAGGCTTTGATCATCTGGGAGCTCAGGGAAGGATGAACATACTGCCTACATGTGTTGCCATGAGGAAGCAGTCAAACTCACACAGATTTTGCTCTTTCTTTTCCAGATCCATTAGTTCAGCAGCTCAACTGACCTTTAGTTCGCAGCCTAAGGGCTTGGGCATTGCTCATTTTGCTAGAAACAAAACTTGGTGAATATAGAAAGCTGACTTTTGTTAATTTGTTTGCTAGATGTTTCAAATGTATTTCCTCAGATCATCAAACTAATCTGCGTGGGTTGTCACGTGCTGATTTTTGTAGTCCTTTTCTTTGAGTTAATGATTATATTGCTTATTCATTATTTATATTATTTATTTGCTCAAATATTTATTGAGTACTTTATATGTAATGCTTAAAACTTAAAATTACAGAAATGGAAAGGAAAGACACAATTCTTGACAATGACAGTGACTTGCATTTATGTAAAGTTTGTATTTTTCAAATTATTGTAACTTACTTGAGTCTAATGACCTTGCAGGGACCTTGTTCCTCAATAGTTTATATTCTAATAATGTTTTCACCTGTAGTTTTCTACTTTATTTCCTTATTTTTGTATGCCTTTTCTATTGTAAAGGGAATATTTACTGTGACCAAATCTTATAAAGGTATAAAGGAATAGCTAAGACCGTCCCCATCCTCCTGAAGATGTGACGGCCCCTTGGAAAGAGTCATAACCTGTCTGCCAACAGTTCTGAGAACACATGTTTTTCGGGTTTGCTAATGCGGAGCAGTATTAGTCCCTATAATCTTTGATAATCTGATGGATAAAATTATAACTGTTATTTTATTTAGTATCTACCGTTTCTTATTAATGAAATTCAAAGTCTTGCTTTGGCATATTTAATGACCATTGTCTATTTTTGGTTTGTTTGTAAATTGGACATTTGTGCCTTTTGTTCATTATTATTTTTAAAAAATCTGTTTTAGACGTCTTCATATGAAGTTCTCTGAGCTTTGTTGAAGTGATTTTGCTGATCATCATTTGTCTTCAACTTTGTGGTATCTTTTACTAGGCAGAAGTTTAAGACTTGTTTCAAACAAATAGGTCATTTTTTTTTTCAATTTTAGCTGTTGTTTAAAAAGTTGATTGCAGACACTAAAATATGAATATGTTCTGTCACTCAAACTATTTTACTTTTATTTTTAATAATAAACTCTCTAATCAACCTTGAATGTGTTTTTGTACATTGTGTGTAGTAGAAATCTATTTTTTCAAAAGTCTAACTGATTATTATAGCATTATTATTCCACAATTCATTTTTCCTCCACTGGTTTGAAATGTCACTTTCATCTTATTTTAAAACTTCCACGTATAGATAATTCTATTAAATTGACATAGTTTTCTATCAGAGCCATACTTTGTTTTATAGTTGAATATAATATCTGGTTGAGTAAATTTTCAAGTTTGAAAAACTAAAATCCTGACTTTTTCAATTCCATAGATTAATTCAGCAATGTTTCTCTCTATTTATCATGATTTTCTGTCACTTCCAGTAGTTCAGCTAGGTCACGCATATTTCCCACCAATTTTATATTTAAGTATTCAGTGGTTTCTTTAGCAGTTGTAAATATTGTCTTTTCCTCAATGATACCTTCACTTGGCAGTCCATCTATTTCTTGTCTACTTATAATTTCAGCTTTTGGTACTTTATTTATTTTGTAAGTCCATACCATTGTTTTACATGGCATACAAATAGGTTTTAAGAAGATTTAAAAATGTTGTAATGTCCCTGTTTTGTTGTAAAGTTCAACGTAGCACAGGAAGTCTTTTTTTTTTACTCTAAGGAAATAAGAATAGAATTTTTAGTGATTGGCTCTCTGCAGAAACTTCCCTGTTTTCTTTTTGTTTCTTATCCTGGAGAGCTAGAGCTTGGTTTYAGGTCTTCAGCAGTTCTTGGGGGAGGGAGACACCCAAACCAAAAYTGTCAAACTGGCCTCTTAATTCTAGTGGTTGGCTTCATTGGTGTTCTGGGAATTCTTGAGTCATTAGAAGCATTTCAAATGATTTTTCTATTCTAAAATATTAAACTTCATCACACAAGAGCTACTCAGGTACCTGTGTTTGTTGTGCAAAATCTGTGCAGAGAGACTGTTGAGTTCCTGCCAAGATGATCTGTATGCAGCTGAGGGAGGGGTGAGGTCTGATGCTGACGGGAACTCTGGAGGGGATGCAGGCTCCAAGGGGAGGATGCTGGCCTTGTGTAAGGTGAAGGCAAGTCACCACATGTATGGAACTCACAAAGGACTCCACTTGAGAGTTTCAATTAGCAGTTGGCATATTGATGATCATTAAAGCCAAGGGTATGGATGATTTTAAATAAGGAAAGAATGTACAGCAACAAGAAATGAATCATTGGTCTTGAAGCCTGAACACCACCAGTTTTTTTTTTTTAAAGAGAGAGTGAGAGAGGAGAGAGAGAGATAGAGAGAGAGAATTTTTAATATTTATTTTTTAGTTCTCGGCGGACACAACATCTTTGTTGGTATGTGGTGCTGAGGATCGAACCCGGGTTGCACGCATGCCAGGCGAGTGCGCTACCGCTTGAGCCACATCCCCAGCCCCCACCACCAGTTTTTAGCACTGAAGGACAATGAAAAGTCACAAAGTAATTGGAGAAAAAGAAAGAGAGAGAGAGGTTTCAATAAAAGCCTAGAGAGGCTGTAGTTGAAGAAGAAGGAAGTTGGTTGTAGAGCCAATTATTTCTGAAAGGCCATGTGAWTTGAAGGCAGGGAATTTCAATTGGATTAAGCAATCTGGGACTCATATCCACTCAATGTACTGGTAATTCAGGTATTTAGAAAACTCTCTGAGTATTTTGAAAGATTGAGCAAATAAYGGGGAGATACCATTGCAGGAGAAATGGAAGCCAGAGAGGAAAGGTGTAATTTTCATGTATTTGATGGTGTTGCTTGTACTTGACCCTGGCCAAATGAAGCGCCTGTTGGCCTCCGTCTTCAGAACTGGTTCTGAGCAGGGTCCACCTGGAAACACAAGGAAACCAYGACGTGTTGTGTTCCTTCACAGAAGCTGCAGCCTCATTGGAAAAAATGGCATGTATGCAGGTTAAGTGATACAGAGTAATTGGGTAGGACATCACAGGTAGTATTTGATTAATAACTAAGTAATAAGCACTGGTCATCTGATTTTTCYATATGCCAAATGCTTTGTATATATCTTATTTAGTCTCAAGCTTCAAACTCCAGGTATTATCTATGGAGGAGAGGACTGAGTTGTAATGAGATGACTTTGTTGGTATCATAACAAATGTAAGGGATTSAACTGAAATGCAAACTTGCATCTCCCTGGTGCTAAGCGCCTGCTTTCTCAACTCTGCTACATTCTCTCTCAATGACTTGGTGCTTTTGAAAAGTAGATACAGGGATGGGATTTGATGGCATTAGCTATTCCCCCTGGACCTGAAATGCCACTGGAGTCATGTGTGTTGCTTCAGATTTAGTCCACAGCAATGATTCTCACACGTAGAGGGACCCTGAGGCTTTTGGACCATTTCAGTGGTGATTCAAAGTCAAATCTGTTGTCATAATACTAATAAGGTGCTATCTGATTTTCCACTTACTGACATTTGCACTGATGGTSCCAAAAGCAATGAAAAGAGAAAGTTCCTGGGCCTTACCTCAGGTCATGGAAGTGTCACCTCACTCAGACAGTGCTCATTCTCAGGACAGGAATGATGGCTTTGATGAAGCCACAGGGCTTATCAGTGCCTGCCCTTTGAGTACTGTGCGAGAGACCCATAAAGCCCTTCTGTTGTGCAGTGAAGGGCACAGGTTGTCTTGAGGAAAATACTCCTCGTGTCGTTGTTTGAATTCTGGAATGAGCTAGTCTACAGGTCTTTTTTTTTTGTTTTTTAATGGAAGACCATTTTTACTTGAAACAGAGACAGATAAACAAGCCCCTTTTTTAATTCCAAGATTTATTTGGGCACTTGGCTTACATTTTCTTGAAAATGAACAAAATGAGCCTGAAAGTTTCAACTGAAAACTGTCTGTAGTTCTTCCAGTAATAAAATCTGAGCTTTCAAACAAAAAATGGAATTTCAGGAAAGTTGGATCTACTACCATGTGCCTGATGACTTGCTAACAATAAAAGAGTTTTCTGATGACATTCATTGTAAATGATAATAACAAATGTGATTTTTTTTAAAAAATAATTTTTAGTTGTCTATGGGCTTTTTTAAAAAATTTATACAAAGTGCCGAGAATCGAACCCAGTGCCTTGCCCATGCTAGGCAAGCACTCTACCACTGCRCCACAACCCCAGCCCCACAAATACGCATGACTCAGTGAGACACTATTTTTCAATCATGYATTGATAAAAGATCTGTTGACCATGGGAGATCAACCAGTGGATTTTAATGGAAGCCAGCATGGAAGAGCTCACAGTTGTGGTTTTAGTTTTTACACTGCAACCAATTTTTAAGAAAGTACCATTTGTTAAATTAAAATGTAGTATCAAAGAATAATATCTGTAATCATTTGAAAATGATATTAATAAATTTATCCAACTTTCTGATACATATYAACGTTTAATCAGATTTTTTTCTTTCTCTTTTCATTTTTTTYCTTTGGTACTGGAGATTGAACTCGAGGCACTTGACCATTGAGCCACATCCCCAGCTTTATTTTGTATTTTATTTAGATATAGGGTCTCACTGAGTTGCTTAGCACCTCGCTGTTGCTGAGGCTGGCTTTGAACTCTCCATCCTCCTGTCTCAGCCTCCCAAGCCGCTGGGATTACAGGCATGTGTCACTGGCCACATTTTCTTCTTATACTTCATCTAAAGGAACATATAGCAACAGCTTGAATGCAGCAGCAGAGATGAAAATTCAGCTCTCCTTAACTAAGCCATATAAAGGTCTTTGCAAAAGTGTAATATAGTGCAATTCTTCTTACTGTTTTTTTGTGGGGGGAGTTGGGAGTTATGGTTATATTCATAAGACAATGCTGCTTGTATTAARATACTTAATATATTTTAAAAATTATTAATTTTAATATTAAAAATATTACTAAATCAGAACCCTTTGATATGCTCAGTTATACCTAAAGGTGGAAGGTGGCCTTAAGGCCAATACTTTTGAATTTAGAGGTGGTGGAACATATCCATAGGGAGAGGTGGCTAAGTGGCTCTGCTCAGTATGCTCTAGTCCCTGGTCTCTCTGTTGTTCAAATTGAGTATATTTTATAGATCTGTATTCAAGTTCACTGTTTCTGTCCTGTCATCTTTACCACTGAGCCCCTTCAGCAAGAAATTGTTTAGGTGAATGTGTATTTCAGTTCTATAATTTCCATTTGATTTTTAAAAATAACTTCTATTTCTTTTCTGAGATTTTTTTTTTCATTTTTTAATGGATATGTAATAGTTGAAGCATTTTTATGACCCTCCCTTTAAAATCCTTGTCAGATAATTTCAACATCTGATTCATCTGATTTTTGGTCCCAGGGTGAAAGATATTTTGTTTTTTTTTCTCTTGTTGAGGGCCACAGACAAGTCAAGATGGCACCTGGCACTTTGCCAGAGGGAGTGGTTTGTGAAGTWAWGCCAGCGAGCCATTAAGATGATGGAGATTCCTTAATGACTGACTGCTGTGTCTAGATKATGTCAATTAAGTTAAGCTGTGTGTAATCATTAAGATGATGAGGATTCCTTATTGGTTGACTGCTGTATCTAGTTTATGTTAATTAAGTTAAGCTGTGTGTAATTATTTGGGTATATAGACTTCTCTGTCCCGTAATAAAGAGGCTCCCGCTCTATCAACCTTCACAAGTTGCTTGTCACCCCCCCCCCCCCCCCCCCCCCCCCCCCCCCCCCCCGCCGGTTGCCCAGCCAGACTTTGGCAGTCTCTATGCCTTTTGGTGGTCCAGGCTGTAGCCCCTTGGCCCCAGTTTGGGGGAGTATGGGAGATACAAGGCTCCCCATATTGTCAAGCCTGAGGTCGGGCCCCTATCCAGGCCACCTTTTCTCCTCAGCTGTCAATTATTTTCATTATKGTCTGTTGGACAATTTTAAGGGTATTTGGAAGGGAAAGAGCTAGTCTAATCAACCTTGTTTTAGAACCAGCCATCATTTCATGCTTTTTATGATGAAAACTTTAACATTTGAAAAATGAAAATGAAAGACATTATGTCAAAGTAGATTAACTTTTACCATAGGTTTCACCCTTAGTGCTATATAACATGTTTGCTTATTTTTATAGGAATTATGCTGGAATATGAAAAAAGTGGGGAATTAAAGACCAGATCTATAGATTTGCTTGAGCTCAGCCCTAGGTAAGTTACCTTTATAACGCAGCATGWATTTCGTTCGTATACCTGCACTTTCTTAGAAAACTCTAATGTCGGAGGATGCGTGGATGTGTGTGAACTATAGTTCCCTGCACCTCACCCCCATTTCCCCAGTTGTTAAGATCTTAGTCTGGGAAATTTGTCACAGTTGCKGTACCAGAAATGGTGCATTGTTACCAACTCAAGTGCACAGTATGCAGTTTTCCTTCATTTCTCTCTAATTCCCTTTTATTTCTAAGATCCTATCTAGGATTATATCCTGGCTGTGACAGTTTCTTAGACTTTCCTTATTTTTGGTGACTTTAACTTATCTAAGGARTACTGGTTGTTGAGTTTAAAAAATATTACTGAGCCTATTTTTTCCTCAGGAAATATTTCATGAGGCTGATTGCTTAGGTTCCTGCCCATCATTTGTCATGGGGCAGAGGCAGGAGCCCTGATCTCTGAAACCCGGTGTGAGCCCGGAAGAGATCTGTGAGGTCATAATGCCTGGAATTCACTCCCTTCAGGAGATCTCTGTGCAAATCTCCATTGTAAGAGATATGAGTAGTGTTTACAACTGTGGGAGTCCAAATTAGGACTAGATAGGTGAAAATATTCTCAATGGGTAAAAAAGAACAAATATACTGTGCTTTAGAGCTGTGGCCTGAGACAGCAGGGGGTCTCTCACACACAGGGCTGCACTGCAGTTTTAAATCAGCCCAGTGGCATGACAGCTGGAGAGGGAGGGCTCCCTTGGTCATAGAGCTGCTGCCACTTGGGGGTTGCGTTGTTTAAGGGGACATTTGTCCTGGTGAGGATTGAGCATGACTTGGGGGATGCCAGTCTAAGTAGGGTCCAACCTTAGTCTAGGTGCCTAGGACAGAGCAGTTACTCAATAGGTATTTTTAAAAATCAAAGAATAAATGGTGATACAGATATGCCATTTAATTTCATCTACAATGATCTTTGTTTAACACTCTTTATTTTTATAARTGAAATCTATTACTGATCTGTGTGACTCTGCTAGCATGCAAGAATTTTTTTAGATGTTCTTTATTTAGTCTGCAGTGAAATATTTGCTTCTCCCACATGCACAGTTCCATTAGGTTTAATAAGAAACGATACAGTCACTAATCATAATCTGTATCCTCAATGGCCATATTGTTTGTTTTGAGAAATAAATTGTAGAAAACAGAGCATCATTTGAGTGGTGCAGCTAAACTTGTATATGAGAGAGTAATTTCCAATTGGAGATTCAAGAAAAACACGGTTTATGTTTAAGAAGCATAGAGCCTTGGGTGATTCATAAAGGACTCRTGGGGCTGCAAATGTAGGAGCTCTAAATGCTTTGATATTCTCCTTGGGCTGCCACTGGATAGTACCATGCTGTGAGGAGGTGTAAGTGGTGGCCACCTACAACCATGGCTGTTCACTCATGATAATCTAGGTGTGATAGTGTTGGAAAGTAAATATCTCAAAGTTATAAAGTATGGATCTTATTTCTAGTTTTTCCCAAGAATCTGGAAATATTTGTCATTATAAAAATACCTGCATTATAGATGACAAACTGAAGTTATTATATAAGAATGTAGCTATTGGAATATTGCAGGACTGGATGTCCAGATTAGGTATTTGGTTAATTCAGATCTTGATAGCAATCTGGATTCACACAATCTTTCCAAGAGGCATTRTTATTGTTTTAATTTTTATGAAAATACAATTCTTTTCATAATTGCATAGCTCAGAGTTTATCCATATAATGGTTATAAATGGTCTCTGATTCATTTCTGTTCAAAATATTCACAACTTTTCCAAATACATAATTATTTTTGAGAGTTGGGATCATATTTTATACTCACAGGGCCTAAGCTAGGGTAGGTATTCAACAAGCAACTGAACAAACAGGTTTGCCTTGCATAAGAATGGAACTTAGGGAATCTTTTTAAGAGGAGGGGAGGGGATGCTTACCAGAGATCACATTTTAGGAGMTGATGCTGAGACAGAGTCAATGGGTAAAAGTTTTTTTGTACACATAGAGTTGTATGCTCTGGATGAGAGGAGTGCCATGTCCTCACAGCAAAGAGCAGAAGGGCCAATGGGATAAAATCCTTTGTCTGAGCTCTCGTGACTTCCTCCCTGCCTGGGGGCCCACTCTCAGTGCTGTTGTGTTGGCAATTTCAACATGAACTTTGGAGGGAAAACACACATTCAAACCATGGCACTCGGTGAGCTCCCCAGAGTCTTGGCACTCCCTCCACGAGAAAAGTCCCAGTTATGGAAACATGTTCTAGAAAGTCCAGGCATCTTGGGCTGGGGTTGTGGCTCAGGGGTAGAACGCTCACCTAGCGCGGTCGGGACCTGGGTTTGATTCTCAGCACCACATTAAAAAAAATAAAGGCATTGTGTTGTGTCTGTCTACCAAAAAAAAAAAAAAGGGAAAAAAAGAAAGTCCAAGCATCTTGCTTCTGTGCCACTACGCTCCTGACTGATGTGAGTGATACTTTTCAGAAATCTCTTGGAAACAGGCTGGTATTCTTAAGAACATATAAATGTTATGCTTCATAAAGCAAAAACAGTTCTTCATGTAATGAATGTATGTGCAATTTTTGACATGAAAATATTTTGGGGGGTGAATTTCAGTACTGATGTCAGTGCTTTGGTGGAAGAGATCAAGAGAGCAGAACCTTTGATCACAGCCTCACGGACAGAGCAAGTCAGCCTCTTGGTGCAGAGATTGCAGGAGAAGCTCAGAGAGAACAGCAACCACAGCTTCTACCTGTTTAAGGTAAGGCCTGGTTAAAAATCACTGAGGGAAGAGTTTTGTTGAAGTAATTGATGCTTTATGAACTCTTCTTTTCCTGTAAGTAGCTTTCTATTTCCTTAAAAATATGTTTTTTTTCAAGAAAGATTCTTCCTTGTGGTTTGCTTCAGTGCCTCAAGCATTTGCTAAGATTGTTTCAATAACTGCTTATTGAATAAATGAGTAAAAGACAACATTTATTTCTTAAGATAGTAAATGAATATTTATAAGTAATTTAGCTACCCTTTATAATGATAAATTTAAAGGGTTATTACCATAAAGGGGTTTTAAGTTAATAAATTATTAAAATTATCTTTCAGAGTAATTTTAAGAAGTCATGTTTCATATTATATCAGCATTTCATATTTTCTGCTTTTATGTCAACTAAACTATACTAATATTCAGTAAATTATTTATTAATATGAATCATATAATTTAAAGTATATAGATATGCTTATTTTTCTCTGTAGTTTTGATAACTAAATTAAAATCATAACAAATGTGGTCATTTTAGTACTCTTAAAAACAGTTTTTTATTTAAAACTTTTAAATTTAGTTTATTCTAAAATTCCTTCTTATCACACTGATTTTAATGCTTCAAATATAATTATGATGATAAATATAATTAGTATTTATGCTCTCCTCTATCTGATATAAAGTATCCAGGTCTTTGGTCATCAGCCCTTCATTTTTCTGGAAGGATGAAGCTATTTTTATAATATCTTTACGTCCAGCAGGTGGCACTGTCTAACTACTAATGTGAGCTCTGTTGCTACAGTGATCCTGTAATTTATCATCCAAAGGGAACATTTTTCATAGTTAAATCGGCACTATTAATAGTTACATTTTGAGAGCAGATATAGAACTTTCCTGGTCTAGATAATTACTCTATTAATAGATTATTCAATTTTTGAATATTAATTCAATGAATATTCATTAAGCAACCACTGTATGCTAGACACCATAGGGAATGAGAGATAAATAAGATATCTATAGACTGTAAAGGAGTTTTAGAACTCAGAAAGCAATAATACATTGTAAAAACATCTTTGAAAGATATTTGATGTATTTCCTATAATACTTTTTATATGTATGTTTATATATATACACACTAAACAATATGCAATTTGTAAAAAATATTAGGAATTAGTGCAATTTGCTATCTTATTTAATAGCTATAAATTATTTAAAGGTAAATTGGTACTGATGGAAAACACAATTGTGTTCTGTAATTATCTGTAAGTACCACATGTTTGGTTTGTCTTAGTAATAGGAGGTGCACTTTTTTCCTCATTTGTTAGGATATTGAATATTGTCTGTTTATTACATATAATTAAAACAACATTGAAAGTTTTTATTTGTTGGAAGTTAAAGTCAAAATTAACTTAATTGGGTTTGAATCCAAAATAAATGGTGTTTTTTTTTTTTCTGTTGAAGGTTCTCCGAGCACACATATTACCATTGACTAATGTCGCACTTAACAAATCAGGTTCATGGTAAGTTTCTCTTTTTATTTCCAATCTTTAATAATCAAGGGATAAAAATGTTTTAAGTGTTTGTCAAACATTCCAGTTAGTTAAGTAGCTAATATRTTCATTTCTGTGATTTTTTGTGTCCTACTGAACATAGAAGAGACATGTAAGCACTTTCTCCTTCTCTTCTAATGTAAGTTTCCTATAATATTTGTAGCATCTTAGGTAGAAAGCATACTGGTCTCAGAAATATTATAGCTGTGAAGAATTTGACTCAGGAATAGGTCAGTTGGGGAGATCCCACGTTGGCCTTGGCATGTAGGGCAGACAAGGCATCATCGTGGCTGGTTGTGACCTGACAATTCAGAGCAGGTAATTTACTTTTGGGGGTGTGATGAAAAGAACCGTCAAGCCCATGTGCAGGAAGTGCCCTTGATGAGCTTACAATCTGAGGTGATAGGTAGGACGGGTGGGGTAGAAGGCGTGTATGGACCCTTGAACATGAATGTAATTACACCTGATTGGTTTGCTAAGGCTGCCATAGTAAATCAGCACACACTAAGCAGTTTTCACAACAGAAATGTATCAGCTTGCAGTTCTGAAGGTTAGAGGTCCCAGGATAAGGTGGCTCCTACTGAGGGCTGTGAGGAAGACTCTGCCCCACACCTCTGTCCTGGATATTTGCTGGCAATTAAAGCACCATCCTTATTAGGTCATCATTTTCACATGATGTTCTTGCTGTGTGTCTGCCTGGTTCCAGATTTCTCTTGCTTATATGAACACAAGTCCTACCAGATTAGGGCCTTACTCTACCCAATATAATCTCCTCTTAACTAACTACATATGCAATGGTCCTATTTCCAAATAATCACATTCTGAGATACCAGGGGATTAGGACTTCAGTATAAAAATTGCAGGAGGACATAGTTCAACACATAGCAATGCCTATGGTTCATATGTGTAGACTTGCACATACAGGTCTGTTTCTAGCAAAAGATGGAGGAAATCCAGACAAGAAACCAGAAGGAAAATGCCTAGAAGAGAATGGTTTTGTTTAAGCAAGAGATGAAGGTAATGGACCTGGAGAGAAGTATTAGGGTATATTTTGTATACATATTAGGGTGTATTTTGAGATGGCACTAGTAGAATTTACTGAGAGTGCACGTGTGGAGTGTGTGTGAGGGGGAAGGAAGATCAAGGGCAACGTGGGAATTGTATGATCTGTAAAACTGTGAGAAAGATGCTGTCACAGAGATAGATGCAGAGTTTCATAAACTACTGCTCATTAYATATCCTGTTTAACAGTGTAAGAATATATAGATAATGGAGGGTAACCATTGTTAGAAGAACCCCTATTTTATATAGGGACTTCTTTTATTGGTTGGGATAAAGATAATTTTCTAAGTCAAAAGATTTAACTATTGTTCTTAATTTTGTTGTTCTGCATACATGATTTCCACTGAGAAAAAGCAAAACAAAGGAATTATCCTGTCAGTGAAATCTGAAGCCTCTGTTAACATACTGCCATCCTGCGTGTTGTCTGTGTTTCTGTGTTAGCTTTATCACGGGGAGCTATGACCGGACATGCAAGCTCTGGGACACTGCATCTGGAGAGGAGCTGCACACCCTGGAAGGTCACAGGAACGTGGTTTACGCCATAGCATTCAACAATCCTTACGGGTCTGTTCTCTCATTCACTTACTCCTTCAATTCATGAGTTCATTCCTCTGTGTATTAGGGGTCGAAGGGAAGACAGTGCATTGCAATGTACTGAGTGCCTGTTAGGTGCTTTAGCARCCTTTCAGTTCCTCCTTCAGTGCTTAAAAAGCCTTTGGGATAGGTATTATTTTTATAACGGTCAAGCTCTGTTGCCCTTCCCAGCATCACACCATGGGGAAGGGGGGAGCTGGAGTTCATGTTCAGCAACACTGTCTTGGCCCTTGCGAGTCTCCGGGAGGAAGTTCCTATGAATGAGTAGAGCACTGGGCAGGTGGCTCTGGAGGAGATGAGGTGAAAATGCACCATATAACATGCCTGAGTTAATTTTCATTCTTGCCAGGTAGAAAAGAATGCATGGGTAGCATGCTAAATAACTGTGCTGAGAAGAACAGAGGTTCTTAAACACCACCCTCTGCTTGGCTGAGGCAGCAGAGCAAGTGTGCAGTGTGTTCTGTCCTTCTGCACAGTGTACTACTGATGCCTTGGCACTGGGTGTTTTACTGGTGAGGTATCCCCCAGCTCGTCTCTTCCACAGTGAGGGTATGAGCCTATCMAGGGCTAGTTGTATGTACTCATGTACTGGAATTTAATTACACAAATTATTGAAATACTACATAAACTAATGAMACGTGAGTGTGAAAAGAAAGCTGTTGTTTTCTACAGAAACAGATCAGATAAACCTTTGGAAAAAATTGTTACTAAATGAAGCTGTAGAGTGATCAATGTCAAATTAGAAAATATGGAAGAATTCTGCACTTGAGCCGGGCACTGAGCACACACCTGTAATCCCAGCAGATTGGAAGGCTGAGGCAGGAGTACTGTGAGTTCAGAACCAGCCTCAGCAAGGCTCTAAGCAACTGAGCAAGACCCTGTCTCCAAGTAAAAATTAAAAAAAGGGCTGGGGATGTATGTGTCTCAGTGAGTAAGCGTCCCTGGGTTCAATCCCTGGTACAAAATAAATAAATAATAAAAAATTCTCTACTCAGATTGTTCTGTGAGTATATTTAAATTCTTTGAGTTTCTCATTCAATTTTAAAGAGAAGAAAATTACAAACTGTAGAGTTTTGATAGAATTTCTTAACAGATGATGAACTCTGATTAGCTGACCTGTAATCAAAGGGCCCCAGCCTTTTGTCAAGAGATGGGCAAATAAGTGTATATTCGTACTCATTTGAGTAAAAAAAAATGAAGATTGTTATTTTCAAATATCAAAAGTAACTTTAAAATATTTTTTTCATGATTGTTCACTTAAAGTTAGTTTTTCCATTAATGAAGCTGTTCAATAAATATGGTTCATTTACAATGAGTTAGGACAAAACAGTAAGTGGTTTAAAAGCCCAGAGGAGAAGAAGACTATGATTTCTCCTGGTTCAARTGTCTGTGAAGGTGATGTGGGACTAAAGCCTAAACCTGGACGGTGGAAGGTGGAGGAGGGGCGAGGACCCTGGGAGGGGCCGTCAGCAGCTCAGGATTGTGAGGTGTGGAGTCCTCAGGCCMGCTCAGCTGCCAGGTCTCCAGTGGAATTTCCTCTGGAGAGTCACAGGGGGTGAGGATGGAGCCTCCTGGGAGTGGGAGCCCTGTTCTGCAAGCCYGAGAAGCTTTAGAAGGCTTCTGAACACAGAAGGGGAGCAAGGACTGCTCTTTAGAGGGCTTGCTCTGCAGAGGGAAGGGGTCAAGGGGTTTGGTGGTGGGAAGAAGCCTGAGGCAAGAGGCAGAGAGATGGGTTAGGAGGCAGGGCCATTACTCTGCTCAGGGGGCAATGAAAACTTCCCTGACAGAGTGGAAGAAGAGAGAGGAATTTTATAAAATTTGATGCACTTAGAGRTTTTATACTGCAATTAAAACAATATCCAGGTTGTTAATGATATTGTATCTTTTTAAAATGTAATACTTTTCAAGACACATGAATTGTGATTGTACAATCAACCTTAGTTGTKCATTAAAATGATTAAACATTGCAATTAAATTACAGAAAATTTAACTTTATGTATTTTTACATTACAGAGAATGACAGTTTTTATAATACCTTATTATACCAACTTGTGGAAGTGAAAAAWTTATYGAAATTATAAATTACACTGGTTCACTGTATAATTCCTACTTTCATTGCATTTCAATTCTCTATAATATAATATGATATTCTTTAATAGTCTACTTAACAGATGTGATATTTTTTGGCATCTTTCTGAGAACAAAGTTTTCTGAGAAAAAAAATGGGGCAGAATAGATTCTGTCCCTTCTGTTGGATTCTACCAAGAGTCCCTGATGAAAATCTCTCTTGTCCAGTTATGTAAATAGTTTTCACAGTTTGATGATTTATTTATTTGCTAATGCAGTATCTTTGAATTTCATGGTCTGTGGGTTTCAGCAGAGTTAGCCAGCCACCGAAGAATAAGTTGGAGTGTGTGTGTGTGTGTGTGGGGGGAGAGAGAAACAGAGATAGAGGGACACTTCCACTGATTTAGTGTTTATTTCTTTTATACATTGGGTCAGGAGTGATTTTGATTCAATATAATAATTCTAAAAAATGCTGACATGAGTAATATTTATAACATGGGTAGAGAACAGTTTGTGGCAGAACAGAAATCAGTCAAGAAATAACAGCCACCCTGAGTCTCATGTATTTGAGGGTAGGAAGGATGGAAAACGGACTGAGGTAACTCGCAGGCCATTGAACTTGCCGTGACAACATAAAGATGACAGCAAGATGTCAAGGAGAAAGCCAGTCTGACACTGAGGGGTCACCAGTCTTCAGTGACAGGGGCTTTGGATGGTTTGTGGTGGCTCCCCAGGACATTCTGTCTACACTGCCCTGGGGTGTAGATAGAGAACACCTTGCTTTCCATTAGTCTGAGAGACCGCAGAGACACTATGTGGGTGACCTGGGAACAGAGGCAGAAAGCAAGACTTCAGTGTTACTCTGGGCAAACAGAGACTCGGCCACTGGGCCGGGTATTTATAATTTGCTTTAGGATATGTGTTGGGTCTTAAGGACCCTGCACTTTTGAACAACAAACTTACACATTAAATGCTCACCCAACTGGGTGAACATCTTGAGGACTTTCTATAAAGGCTAAGTATGGGTCAGGAATAAAAGATAAGGCTTTGGTGCCAAGACCAAAGGTCAGCGCAGTGAATCTACCTCTAGCCCTTAGGTGGGGGCAGKAGAGCCGCCCTGGGGTCAACTGGGAGCCTTCAGTTTAAAAGACTCCAGTCTTTACCGATCTTCTCTTTGAATTCTTACAACATGAGTAATATTGGTGTTGTTTTTCCAAGGAGTCCCTTACTTACTGCCAAACTTCTCGAAACTTTGTTAGCATTTGGTTAATTGGCTTTATATCTTTTTATTTCTCTTCTTTTAAATTCAGTGTTACCTTTTAGCAGAATTTTTCTGTGCTGATTCTACATATTATTGATATCCACATTACTAATTTTCTGAATGAAGCTTTTGCCATATTCATTGTTAATTTCAAAAACTGTTATAATCCCAAACAAATATATTTATTCCTTTAATATAAAAACTTTAACATTGAACATACAAATTGATGCCATTCAATTAAACCTTAATTTGGTCATCCACTGATACAGGGTCGCTTACAGTTTTAAAAGTGAAGTACATTTCTAAGTAGATAGATATCCATGTGCTGATATTCAGTGTATCATATAATGTGACTAAATATGTTTCTAAAATTCTTATTTTAAAAAATTGCAGTGACAAAATCGCAACTGGGTCCTTTGATAAGACTTGTAAACTGTGGAGTGCAGAAACAGGAAAATGTTACCATACTTTTAGGGGGCACACAGCAGAAATAGTGAGTATGTTTAACATTTTGAAATATATTTTATGTTGCTGTTTGTTTTAGGATTTCACTATGAGAGTATGAGTTCTACTTTTATAATTAATTTTCAAATTCTATCCCAGTATTTTCTTAGTCTGCATGGATTTTATATGGTGGTGGTGATATAATTTAAAAATGACTTAAGTTTTAATAATCTGCAGGTACTGTCAAAGAGTATTTTGTACTAAGTGGATCTGTGATATGATAAATATGTGAGTATAATATTCAGCTTTATCTTTTCATTAACTTGTCTTTAAAGAACTGACTCAATAAAGGCTGATGATGTTATTAAAATAGCTTTAAAACAACTTTTAACATCATATTTAGGCTTATTATTTTCCGAGTATCATTAGAACTCCAATTTGAATAAATATTCTGATACTCTAAATAGATTTCACAGTTGGGGGGGGGTCCTTGCCCTTGACCATTTCTGTGTTAAAATCTTAAAACAATTAGTGAGCTAATTGGCATTATATGGATAACTTAAAAATAAGCAACCTGCTTATTTTAGGAGTGAACTTACGCTCATCCTTCCAGTTCATGGTATATTTATCCCGCAAGGTACAGTTCAGGAAGACATGGTACTACAGGAAGACATTGTAAAATGACCCTGTAGGGGCTCATAGTTTAGGAGCTACTGTTCTAARACTGTGACATATTCTAGCTTAATGGTGCCTCCTAACAACCCTAAGAGGCAGGTTGCCCATCTTGAAGCACAGTTGAGGACACGGAGGCATAGCGAGTCACTTGCTTAAGGTCAAAGAGGGACATAATCTCGTTTGTAGAGAGCAGCACATCTCTACACTTCCTTGGAGTTTTGAAAGGTTTTCTTTACATAGAGTTCTTAGGCTGACAGTTATAATTTCCCATCGTTTCCCACTATTAACTGTATGTGAAACGTGGCCTCAGGAGGCCTATCAGGAAAGGATGCAGTTATTGTCCTCCAGAGATTTTGCAGTTCAGTAAGAGGAGTAGAAGCATCGGTGAGTAAGTGCAGAGATGTGTTGAGATAGTGAGAAGTGGGCTGGGTTCAGTGAGGGCCTGGGCTGTCAAGTATCTGTATCCTTGGCCAGGAAAGGAGCTCAGGGAAGACTTAGAGAGATGAMATGAGCACTGCAGGCAAGGGAGCAGCGCTGGCCAATGCCTGGAGGAGTGTGCAAACATGCATGTGCCCGGGAGCTCAGGCAGCTGTGTGATGACAGCAGAACCTCCTGACTGTCCCTGTGAAGGCATGCACACAGTATGCTGTTGGGGGTGTGCTACCCGCTGCGGGGAGTTGAGTGATGGGTGAGGATCCCCAGTTCTGCCCAGCTGCCTGGATGAAGAACCCCGGGGCCTTGGCACACCAATAGCCCAGTCAAAGCTAGACCACCAGGCAGGAATAGATGAAATGGGAGAGACAGGCAAAGGCCAACTTGTAGATTTGTAGAGGGCCTRTGCCAACCTGAGACATTTGGGGTTTGTCTTGAGGTCAGGCCACTCTGCTGAAGCTCTGCAGCTGGGAGGAGGTACCTCAGCTTGGCTCTCTGGGAAGACTGTGGTGGTGTTCAGGAAAGGTGGGAGGTGGGTGAGGTCAGACATACAGGCCAGTGGGGGACCTTGCTGCTGCCAGATGAGAGGTGATGCAACCTTTTCCTGGGGCAGATAAGAGGGTGAGAGATGTAAGGGAGTAGAGGGAGTACCACATGGTTACCAAGGGAGTCTGAGGCATGAGTGAAAAGGGGCACCCAGGGTGATTCCCTGATTTGGGGTGTGGGTGATTGGTAATGCCACTCACTAACTCTATGTCATTGAGGAGAAGCAGGTTTGCATTCATAGGATCTGGAGTCTTTGGTTGATTAAAGATGCCTGTGCGATTCCCAGACAGGCATCCATTTGGCTGTTGGCTCTTTGGGGCTGGAACTGGCGAGTGAGGTCTGGGGAGGGGCCTTGGTCTCCTGGTACCATTAGGATCCACAGAGCCATGAAAATGGCCAGAGGAAGGGTGACACACAGACAAGAGCTGACAGAATCCCGAAATATAAAAACGACAGACCTTTAATTGATACACCCCCCTGTCCCAACAACAACAAATGAAAAACAAAACAAAATGAGAAGAAAGAGGAGAAAGCAGAGAACCTTAAAGCTGTACAGATATCAGAAACAAAGGAGTCCACACCACAAGCAACAGGGAGGCTAAGTGGGAAGACCAACAGAGCCCTTTGGATTGGACCCATCCACAGCAGTGTCAGGACTATTGAAGAGTGAGTCCAAGATGAGCAAAAAGTAATGGTAAATCATTTTTCCAAGGAACTTGGTTATATAGGGGAAAAGGTAATTGAAATGGGCACCTAGGGTCACAGGAGAATGTGCTTTCAAGTAAGAAAAGCTCAAGCATATTGACAGGCCCCTGGGAAGGATCTCGTCAASAGAGAAGGACAGCTGATAGGTACATGTCCCCTAGAAATCCAGGGAAGGGGGTTCTAGAGTGGGCCAGGGAAGGAAGCTCCCAGCCATAAGGAGAGTTTTCTCAAGGAAGCAGTCAGAGGCCAGGTTGACTGTTGAGGGAGAGTGAGGGTGAGACTGGGGGCAAGAGTGGCAACAGGAGAAGGTGGAGCCAGAGGCAAGTTTAACCCAGTGGGCGATGGTGCTGAGACCCTGGGGCAGAGGCGTGAGTGAGCCACACCAGTGACYGATGAGTTTTCTTAGGCTGCCGGGGTAGAGTGATGAGGCAGGAAGGTGGATGACTGATTAAAACCCTGGACAAAAGTTCATGTTCAGAGTTGGTTGGAGGGTGCATTTGAAAGAAGGTAGGAACTGAAAACATGGAGGCTGCTGGCAGGAGCTCTGCTTCCTGGGTGTCAGGTGAATATGGAAGATAGAATGCAAGAGGCAGGGATCTCGGGATCTCAGGGAAGTCAAAGAGTCTGTGGCAAGAAGGGAGGGAACATGAGAGAGAAAGCTGAAGTACTGGGAAATGGGGCCCATCAATTGGTGAGTTGGTGATGAATCTTCTAGAGAAGGTGATGTCAAGGTGCAGGGTGCAGCCAGAGGGGCAGGTACTGAAGAGGACCAGGGGTACTGGATGTATTGCCCACATGAAGGCCACCGAGGGTGTGCAATGGGCAGTGTGAGCCAGTGTCACAGTCCTTTGGYGAGGGACGTTATCACAAGGACCGTGATGCCAGCAACAAGGGACGGGCGCCTGACAGCTTGAAAGTCGAGGGAGGTGGCTTTGCTGTTGTTCTTCTGGTGTCAAAAAGTGTCAGAGAGGGTCCATGCCCCTCTGAGCCTGAGCTGAGGTGTGGGGACTGGTTCCATTTGGCCTGGTGCATAGGGTTTCCTGTACCTGACCTTTTGTTATTTACTCAAAGACTTAAACTGAATCTGCCAAGGTCATTGCAAGGCCACAGAGAATTCACAGTGTGAACCTCTAATCTTCTAAAGTTYCTTCCATTTCATACAATGTAGGTGTGCTTATCGTTCAACCCCCAAAGCACTCTGGTGGCTACTGGAAGCATGGACACGACGGCCAAGCTGTGGAACATCGAGAACGGAGAGGAAATGTGCACCCTGACGGTGTGTCCCTGTGTCCGTGTGTCCTTGTGTCCATGTGTCTGTGTGTCCATGTGTCGGTGTGTCCGTGTGTCCGTGTGTCAGTGTGTCTGTGTGTCGTGATGTTCACGCACCTGTCTTTGTCCTCGTTTTCTATCTGTGTCTTTGTTACGATGAGTGCTGTTAGAAGATGCTCTCAAAGCACTAGTTTTCACACTGCAGGGGGAGTGCTGCGGTTGGCTTGCTGACTGTTCCAACAGACTTGGAAAGCCAGATGAGCTTTGATTTTGATGACTTTTATTCTGAAAAACACAAACCATAGCTYTGAACCCATGTAGTCTCTGTGGCTAAAAAAAAAGTAGGCGGGCTGGCCCTGTTTGGAAGAGGCAGCCCTGGAGGTCCCTGCAGAAGATTCCCTACGGGGGCGCGTGTCCACACTCCCCTCACCTGCCCGTCTCTGAGCTCTCCTGGGAGAGCCCCATGACCAGGGGGTGGGACAGGGGAAGAAAGGCCAAGGCAGGGCCTGCAGAATGGTGCTGATAGGTCACCACCACACACCTTCCCCAGGCCTGTTTCCTCTCTCTCCTCTGTCCTCTGCCCTCCCCTCTGTCCTGCCCTGACCCACGTGACCACAACAAAATGGACCTATTTATGCTGTAATAAGTGGGAACAACTACACGGAAAATCCAATGTTCTTATCCTTTCAAAACTATAARTAAATATAAAAAGCATGATTCTTTACTTAAGGAAGTTAATAGATGGACTAAAACAAGAGAAGAGAGGTCCCCACTGAAAAGCAACACCGAAGGCTCCCTTAACTCTGAGTACCCAGTGTCACCGATGTGTGCGTGCTCTGACCTCAGATGTCACATTTCCAGGGCCCCTGCTCCCTCACTGCCTCTCTTTTCAGGAGAAATGGCTGGAAAAGCCGTTAGTACCCGCAGTTCAACTGAGGGGACTCCTCCTCCTGACTGTGCCAGGGCACTGTGAGCTCAAAATTCTAACATTCAGCCACGTTTCACTTTTGTCATTGGAATCAACCAGAAAATCAKTTTGAAAATGAACTTTTGCAATACTTTGTTACTTAAAAATATGATGGTGTTGATTTTCTAAAATAATTAGGAAAATGGGGAGGAGAGGCTCATCAGAATTGTAGGGTCTGCTCCAGGGAGAGGCTTCTTCCCACGCCTCATACACTGGAGTCCCCCTGTGCCAGCTGGCCTTTCATCGTTGTGACCAAAATGCCTGACAAGAACAACTTAGACAAGAAAAGGTCTATTTTGCCTCATGGTTTCAGAGGTTCAGTCCTCGGTTGGCCAGCTGCAGGGTAGGAACATCAAGGCCTGGAGGAGTGACAGAGGGAAGCTGCTCAGCTCATGGCAGCTGGTAAGCAGAAAGTGAAGAAGGGGACAGGGACAGATAGAGTCCCCAAGACCCCCCAACCCACCAGTGACTTCCTCCAGCCACACCCGCTTGCCTACACTTACCACTACAACTCCATCAGATGGGTTAGCCCACTGTTGAGGGTACAGGCCTCATGACCATTTTCCCCCCCTGAAAGCCCCACCTCTGACGCTTGCCACACTGGGAACTGTGCTGTCAACACAGGAGCYCCTCTGGGAACGTTCCGGATCCAAACCACACACATTAGCAGCACACTGTAACCAGGGAAGTTCAGGCCAAAAGCCAGGTGTCTGTTGATCTGTTTCTTGTATGTTCTGAAGACTTTCTTTAAAGTTAAATTTGTTCATTCACTGTTTTGATTTGCCCATCATATAATGTTAGATAGATCAGAAACCGWTCCTTTTAGCACTTCCAAGATAATGACAAAGAAGCTCCCTAATTTCCCCAAACACAGCCCCTCCCTCCTTCCATCCCTCCCTCCCTCCCTTCCTTCCTTCTTCATTTCCCTTCTTCTATAGGTTCATTGAGTTAAAATGTAAGGCAGTGATTTTTAATAATCTCATAGAACTCTATATAACCATTTGGAAATCAATTTTTAGAACATTGTTATCATCCCGKAAAGAAACCTGAGCCCGTTTGTAGACACTGTGCATTCTCAGCCCACAGCCAGCCACYGTTTCTCTCTCTCTATGGCTCTGCTTCCTCTAGCATTTCCTTCTTAGAGTATGATGTTGTGGAACTGTTTTATCCACGGGTATGCATGACAATATCTGGTCTTCTTCTAGGGACATTTGGCAGAAATCATTTCCTTGGCATTTGACACCTCTGGAAACAGAATCATCACTGGGTCCTTTGACCACACAGTTTCAGTGTGGGATGCTTCTACTGGGAGGTAATTCYTGAGAAGTGAAATTGATCACATTGCATTTTTATGTATATATGAATGGRCCACAAAGAAACCCTGTTCTGCTTAAATAATATGTTCCAATAAGAAAAAATGAATTTTTAAACCTGGTTCAGGGGGTTAAGAAGAACTTATATTTTTTATTGGTTTTACCTTGTACCGAATACTGTGCTTTGAATTCTACAGGAATAGGACACATTAACGACATAAATTAATTTATTCTCTAATGGTATTTCTTATCCACAGAATAAGCACCTTCTCAGAGTTCTGAGCAAATAATTTCAAACAGCTGTAGAAAAGGAGAATGTTAGCAGTAGCCTGGTACATAGCTATTATTTATCCCATGTATTAAATAATAAAATTTCAATGACTTGTTTTTTATGGTAGATGTGAGTATCATGCATAAAGAAAACCTATAGTCAATTTCCCAGATTTAATTTAGTCCAAGGACTTCAATATACTTCCTAGTTGCTAAGAAGTTAACTAAATTACCATATTTATGTTGGAACACTCCATGGTTGGACTTGTCTGCATTTTGATAGAGGGGCTCATTATCAGAGGTACTGACCATGATTTGCTCAAGGAGAAATGAGAGGAAAGAAGGGCCTGTCAGTCTTCTGATGWGTAGTTTCTGAACAACCAGGGGTCTGCTCATTGGTGTCAGGACATGTCTATAGAGTTTCATTTTGCTTTCACTATTTGTTACCTATTCCTTTTTGAAATGTTGCCTTAAATTATGTTACATTTTTTAAAAAATGTTTTGATTGTACATATTTATAAAGTACAATGTGATATTTCAGTGCATGTATACAGTATGTTCTAATCCAATCAGCAAGATGGAAGGAACTGGAGAACATTATGTTAAGTGAAATTACTGACACAGTAATGTTATCTTTGATTGTTTAAAATTTAAGTGCATTTTTGTTGATCTGTAATTAGAAGCTTCCTTTTGAGCTATAGTATAGCRATATTTGTTTCGTCATAAAAGATATTATTATTTAAAAACCGAAATGTAAATTATTTCACACAGATGGGCTTGGTTTCATTATTTGTGTACACATCTTTCAGCAAATTTGGTCCTTTCCCCATTTACAGGAAGGTGTTCACCCTCATTGGCCACTGTGCAGAGATAAGCAGTGCCTTATTCAGTTGGGATTGCTCGCTGATACTGACTGGTTCCATGGACAAGACCTGCATGGTGAGCTCAAGACACGCTTCACATTGTATCTGTATTCCAAGTCAGAGGTAACATAAAATTAAGAGAGGATTTCATAAATAATAATTGGTAAGMGTTATGTCAAGTTTCTGATTTCCCAAATTGCAAGGAATTATGAGGTGGTAAAACAATTTTGCTTGCTTCTAATGTTTTAAAGTTCCGATTTAAAAAAGCACATTATTTTTGTCTAATGTCCTGCTGTTTATTTATTATACTTTGGTTAGTATGGCCCTCTAGGAGGCTCTAGTAAGTATATCCCTGCCTCTTAGGTTTCTGCACTTATAGACATGGTTGCTAATGGCTTATCCTCTGGAATTACCATTTGATTATCAAATGTGCTATAATCTTATCATGTACGTTCATTTTCCGGCATTGTATTTTGGAATCAAGTCCCTTTTCTTATGATGTCCTTCCTGTAAAAAAAGGACCCTTCAACTCCAATCACTAAAGTATACACTGGAAGAATTTTTCTCTTAATTTGTGGCAGGTTCTAAATGCCTGACTTTGGTCCTCTCTGTGACCAATGTGTCTTGACAGATGGTTGGCCATGGTCTCTGGTCATCATCAAGGTAAAATTAATGGARCAAGTGAGAATTATACACAAAATACCTAATTTTGGCTCAGTTATTTCACCCCCATAGCATGTCATGAAGACCCCTTGCCACCATCACATTTTATACATGAGATTAGTTTTTGTTTTCTTTAATTGCAGTTGTGGGATGCCACCAATGGGAAATGTGTGGCAACCTTAACAGGCCATGATGATGAAATTCTAGACAGCTGTTTTGATTACACTGGAAAGCTTATTGCAACTGCCTCAGCTGATGGTAGGTAATCTGTTAACTRTTTAATTTATGGAGGAATTTTTGCTTTGCTTGATACACATGCGTGATTGTACACCATGGATCATCTGCCTGAGGATCAGCTATGACAAGACTATATATGCCTTATATCCCAGATGACTGAATGTGTCACCACAGTGTGTCCATCTGGTCATATTCTTGATAACCACATAGACATGTATAAGTCTTTGTCATCTCCATAATGAGTACATGTGATGCTCTATTCTGGATCACCTCCCTGGTGACCATATTTGATGCTACACTATGTTGCCTCATCCACGTGACCACCACTGATGCTACCATAACAAGTCTTCTCTATCTCTGTATAACTGTGCTCTGCYCCACTCTGTCAAGAATATCTTTATGATAAACACATATGATGCTATGCTATACTCTGTCTCATTAATTCTATGTGATGTATGAGTCATCCTACTGATAACCACRGACATGTTGCTATACTAAGAGGACCTCAATGTCATGAAGGCCTTATGTGATACTATACTATGCCATCTCACTGTTGACCATGTGTGACATTGCATGTGTGACCATATGTTGTTATATACTGTGTTTGTATTATTCCCTTAAAAGTCATGTTATGCTACCTTATGTATATTAGTCAGAATTTCATCACTGTGACCAAAATGCCTGACATAAGCCACTTGAGGAGAAAGGCTTTATTTTGGCTCRCAGTTTCAGTCCAAGGTCAGCTGGCTCCATTGGTTTGGGCTTGAGGTGAGGCACAACATCATGGTGGAAGGGTGTGATGCAGGCAGGCTGCTCAGGTCATGACATCCTGAGAGCCAGGAAGCAGCAAGGGAGAGGGAGGGGGAGAGGGAGGGAGACAGGGAGGGGGAGGGGGGAGAGGGAGAGAGGGAAGGAGTGGGGATGGAATCAATCAGGGACAAGAAATACCCTTTCAGGGACCTCTTCCTCCAGCTAGGCCCCACCTCCTCAGTTTCCACCACTTTCCCATATGCCGTCAGATAATTATCTGTCAGTGAATTACCCCTGCTGAGGTCAGAGCCCTTGTTATCTAATCATTTCTCMAAAGCCCCACCTGTGATCATTGCTGCGTTGGGGAACAAGCCTTCAATGCACGAGTCTTTGGGGACACTGAATATCTAAATCATACCTCTATGTTTTCATCTATTAAAGCCATGTGTGATGCTAGGTCATATCCATTTCATGTCCTTGATAGMGGCTGATGACGACAACGTCTAAGCTATTTCTTTGATGACTATGACTGTCATGCCATCACCTGATCATCAAGTGAGGTACTACATTCTGTATGCATCATTTCCCTGATGACCACATAGATATRATACTGTCTGTGTCACCTTGTTGGTGGCTGTGCCATGTATGATAACTCACAACACTTGCATCATCTTCTCAAAAGTCATATGAGATGTTGTGCTATATCCACATCATCTCACTGAGAGCCACGTGTAATTTATAATCTTTCCAAAGACTACAGATAATGCTATACCATGACTCTGTTATCCACTTGATGACTGGGTATGAAGCTACACCAACTTTGTGTTATCCCTTTGATAACCTATATACCTGACTGTGCTGTTTAATTTACACTTCCTCTTTATAACCATGTATGATACTACACCATGTGAGTCCATTCCTGGAAACCTGTGTATGATGCTATAATGTTTCTACTTCTCCCTGACAAACACATCTATAGGCCCCACTATGTCTGCATCATCTCCCTTAGAAAAGCATCATTCTTCATTATGTGCACATCATCCCTTGAAATCTGCTACAACAGTGTACTCATATGTCACATCCTTGAGCACTTGATATTCTGATACCCTGTGTGATGCTTGATATTCTGCTCATCTCCACTGTATGTGTGACGTTACACGCTATTGAGGGCTTGATAACCTTGTCCTGTCATTGACCTCCACTTACGATGCTACCTAGTATTGCATCATTCCCAGACAACCACGTGTGATACTTATATTAGGGGTTCCAGAAAAGCAGCACAATAGGATATATATCCTATAGATTATATATATTGATTTTTTATGGGTATTAACTCACAGGATTATGAAAATTGAGAAATCTCACCACATGCTATATGCCTGCTGCAGAACCACAAAAACTGATGCTGTAGTTCAGTCCAAGTCTAAAGCTTATGAGCCAGGGGGCCAGATGTATCTCAGTCCAAGTCTAAGCACCTGAGAACTAGACTACAGGTCTAAGTCTTGGAGTCCAGAGGCCTGGGAACCAGGGGGCTCTGATGACCAAGAGCCAGAGAAGATGGATGTCCAGTTCGAGAAGGGAGAATGAGTTCACTTCTCCTCTGCCTTTTTGTTCTGCCGGGCCCACTAGATTGGTGATGCCCACCTGCAGTGGCGAGGATGTCTTTACTCAGTAATGCCCTCAAGTGCACACTTAGAAGTAATGTTTTATCAGCTAGCTGGGTATCCCCAGCCCCATCCAGTTGATGCAGAGTTCAGTATCACACAACCACACTGTCTCTGCCATGTCAGGACAACCGCACATGACACTGCACTGTGCATCATCCCCTTGACACCAATTGTATGCCCTCTTCCTGAGGACCATGCCAATGCRTGTGCCTGCCTTACTTCAGTGTGTGATTCTTCCCTGGCATGTATGTGAACTTATTTGAAAAGCATGCATCTTTGAAGCTTTGTCATTTCTTTTGGAACCATGTATGGTGCTATGCGATGCCTCTCATTTAGCCTTGTGTGACTCTATACTATGTCTGTGTCAACTCCTACATAAGTATACTTGGTACTATAATATAGGTTTTATATATATATATATATATATATATATATATATATATATATATATATATATATATATATATATATATATATATATATATATATACATAAATTTAAGTTGTAGAAGGACACAATACCTTTATTTTATTTGTTTTTATTTTTATGTGGCGCCAGGGATCCAACTCAGTGCCTCACACATGCTAGGCAAAGTGYTCTACTACTGAGCCACAACCCTGGCCCAAGGTTATACCTTTAATCACTATGTTAAAGCGAGAATGCGATAAATCACTTAGTYGATCTTAAAGCAAGCTGGCGGGCCAAAGGGCAGGCTGCAAGTCAACACCCTTTGACCCCGTCCCYGGGTTTGAGTATACCTTTTATAGTCCAAAATCACATTAATCATAAGTGGCTGTTGCTATGATTCAAAACCATAAACAAGCGTCATGAGATCTAAAATCATAAGCAGAAAAGGGATTGGCCCAAACGTCCCTAGTCGAGTTCAAGTTAAAGAAGGTTACTAACATCTAGATAGTCAATCTCTGACATGGTACRTTGTCCAAGGGAAATGGGAACCAAAGAGAAAACAATTTTACATTGTAAAAGAATTGCCATTTTTTTTTTGTTGCCACACATGCTAGCTGAGCAACTGTTGATGAGTACAGAGGCAGGGCTTTTCTATGGGAAAAGAAGTTTTTACATCATGTGGAGTCTCAGGGTATGATGGAGTCTGTTTGGTCACTACCCATATAGCCTGGCCCATAACAACTACACATGGCATCTCTATATATCTGTATATCTATATATTTATAAAATAACACACACACACGTGTGTGTGTGTGTGTGTGTATATATATATATACACACACATATCACTAAACTAATGTTTCTGCTTCATCTCTGGCAACTATAATAATGCCATATAACATCTAGATTATTTTCCTGATATTCAAGAAAAATGATAAATCAGTCTGTATCTTCCACTTGAAGGTATTTATGATGTCATATTGTTTTGGTGGCATCTCTAATGACCACAGAGAAACTTTTGTTATGTCTATGTCTGCCTCATTTATTTGATAGCCATGAGTGGTGCCATACTGTGTCCTCACCATCTTGATGATCCTGGAATCTGGGTCCTTGTCTTGGTGTTATTCTGAGCTTTAGCTAGCATTCTGGGCCATTGCCAGTGTTATTATATATGATGCTACAGTATGTTGTCTCATAAGCTTGATAGCAGGATGGCTTTGTGATCCACGGTACTCTCAAATAATGCTCTATTTTAGGCCATTTTCTTTGATGATAACATATGTTGTTACCCTGTGTTTGGTTATCAACTTAAATATCATGTATGATGCTATCATGCTCTTCTTTTTGGTGACCGTAACAGGTGTTATTTTACAGGTTAATTTTTGATAATCATGTTTGATGCTGAAGATGTCTGCATCATTTCCTTAAACACTATGTGGGATGCAATACCATAGCTGTGTCTTTTCCTTGATAATCCTATGGTATGCTAAACTGATTTATTACCATCTTGACATAATCTCTGAATATCTAAGCGATAGCATTAATAACTGTGTGTGATGTTATATGTAGAATTATCACTTTGATGATAGGCATCATCTTATTACTGCATATGATGCTGCATAGCTGCATCTTTTCCTTAATAYCTATGTCTGATGCTACACTATGTGTGCTTCAGAGATGAAGCACTGTAATGTTATTGTAAATTTTCTTGATTTTATTGAATTATCATATGATGTAATACTATATCTGATTTATCACTTTGATAATCATGTGAATGTAATTGTGTCTATATCTACATTATCTTCATATTCACATAGGATTCTATAGTATACATCAGCTCTTTATGATCCCAGACTGTTTGTGTTAGACCTTTGAAAACYATTCCTCATTTTATATTGTGTTATGGCCTTGATCACCACATACAAGTGTGTGCCATGTGTGCTTCATCTCCAGAGGACCATGTATGTTATTATACACCTCTGTCACCATGCTGTGMTGCTGCATTGTACAATATCCTCATATACATTACACTATGTGTACATCAATTTCTAATAACTGTGGGTGACACTACATCTGGATTATCTCATTGGTTATGCATGATGCTTCTCTATTTTTTGTCTCATCTCGATTCTATACTCTGTCATCTTCTTGTCAATAATGTGTGACATTATACTATTTCTAGGTCATCTCTCTGGTGATTGTGCATGACATGACACTATCTCCCTAATGAGCACATTTGGGTCATTTCCCTCATTACCAACTATGACACCACCCTGTGTCTACCTACATCATTTCCATGATGACACTATATCCCCTCTATGAATGCATATCATGCTTACTACAACTGTTATTGTTCTGACAGCCATGCATGAGTCAGCACTATTTCTGAGCCATTTCTCTGTTGAGCACATATAAGGCTATTTATGTCTGTCTGATTCTCCTAAAGACCACATGACTCTACATCACATATACATAATTCCCTGATAGCCACTTGAGCAATTCTGACAAAATGAGGTACTCTTTCCAAGTATGTCATGTTCTATTTCCTTTGATTTGTTCCTTGTGATTAACATGTGCATAGTCACTTATCTTTTGTGCTGTGATCAATTGTTGAGTTTTGTCACTGATTTATTTTAATGATACTGTCTTTATTTCACTGTCTCCTTTCCAAAATTACATTGCATGTTTGTTTTCTTAGTCACTAGAACTTTTATTGGTGCTCCTTTGGTACAAGTCCTTTTTATATTCTAAAATGCAAATACCCTGCATCTGGGGAACATTATTTTTAAAGTAACCCTTTACTTTTTAATCTTTTTGTAGGTCTTGACTTTTAAAACCATCCTCAATTGCAATTAATCCACCCTTTTCTATTTATGTATTTATTTTTTGTTGCTAGAATTGAACCTGGGGCCTTGCTGAGCATGCTCTTTATYTCTAAGCTATGCTGCCAGCCTGATCCTTTCACTTTAAATATTATTTACACAGAGAAAATTCATTCACCAGTATGTTCTGAAATAACTACTTTGTGCCAGGGATTGTGACGGTGACCAAAAGAGAGAAACCAGGGCCCTTGTGGATTTATACAGTGGAGAGCAAGACGAAGCCTGAGCAATTCCGTTCCTGTGTCCTCTGTAGGTCACTGTACCACACAGAGCGTTGGGGCAGTGTGGGGAGGAGCCGMGGTGGCGGTGGCGGTGGCGGATGGCGGTGCTGAGGGATGGCTGGGTAAAGCACAACGTCAGTGCTTCCAGCTGTTTCCTCTGTCATCCATTTCCCCAGAAGTGACCTGTTCTTTCCTTGTTCAGTACTTCAAAAAAAATCTACCSGCCTTAGAGATTTTGTAAGCCTTTTCTTATCCTGTGCTTCCTAAGAAGTCTTGGTGTGTATCCAATCAGTTTTATCTTTCTCTGGCCTTTCTCCTAATTCCCTTCCTAGAAAAGCTGGCTCTCACTTGACACGGGTGATCACCTACAGCTACATCTGTTTCTTTATATACATCCCCTCTTTCTTCCTTCTTGGAGTTAATCTCATGTCTGATTTTATTTTATTTTATCTTAGTGTCCTTATTCCTCTTTTCTAGCTAGAAAGTTTAGAGTCATATTATTTATGTATCTTCTGAAGTTTAAAAAATGCTTTTGTAAAATTTGTGAAGCATTGGTCTGTGCAGGACATTCCCTTTTGAGCTGTCAGCAGGTTGGTTGGCCCTTCTCTTTTCAGGATTTTGAAACATCTGTGTAGCAGTTTTATTTTTCTTGTAGTTGTTTGTTTTTAATCATATAAATTCTAAAGTWGCAGGGTTTTTTTTATCATTTTATCTACTCCCTTTGAAGTTAGCATTGTCAGAAAGATAAATAAAAATATTTATTAAGGTATTTTACTTTTCTCTGAATGCACATTAAATACCTAAAGTTCCCTACCCTTGCTGTATTTTCACCTTTATGTAATACTGAAAGCATCTGGCCAGGTCCACTATAACTTTTCTTCTGAGAACAGTTTCACTATCCATGTTTTCTCTGTCTATACCTAGTTAACTCTTCCTTTCTTAATTCTAAGGAAATTTACATGCCACTTTGATCCATCCATCCATCCATCCATCCATCCATCCATCCATCCATCCATCAATCCATCCATCTTAACATCTTTTCATTCAATCTCTCTGATATGGTGGCCCTTCCTACCATGGAAACAAAATGTTCTACAGCACTTTCTGTGCGAAGGGCCCTCCAGCCTCTTCTCTGTTCACTGAGTAGAGGCCCGGCTTCTCGGGGAGTCCGGTGTGCTCCCTGAATCCAGACTCAGACCTCTTGATTTTCCTTTTTTGCCCTTTAAAATATTTTTCCCTCTTTATTCCTGGCTCTCATTGCTTCTTCTACCTTATACACATTATCTCTTCTAATAAGGTCAGGGATAGGGAAGAACTCCTTTCACCTTGGTCTGTGTGGGACAGAGTTGCATCTAGAAGATAGGTGGTTGGCTCTTGCTACAGGCAAGAACTCATCATKGAGTTTATGTATCTCAGGATAGATATTTGGGTAATTTAAACTCTTTGGCCCAAAGTTCTGCATTTCAGGTGAATTGATATCTATCCCCACACCTTTCCAAAAGGAACAGCCAGAGTTTACTGTGCAGCCACAAGAAAATGCATTACCAAATTGGAAGGCCATGAGGGTGAAATTTCAAAGGTGAGTTACTTCCCCATTTATTTACTTTCAAAAAATAAACAACATGTTTTATATAAATAAAACATTTAATAACTTACCTCTTAAAATGTCTAACATATGTATTAATATGGAATAAATGGAAAAGAAATGTTCCTGACATCAAGTGGGTCAATCCAGAGTGAACACAGTTAAACAAAGAGGATCATGTGKCACCAAGTCTCTGTGAAGTCCAAAAGTGGTGCCAGGGATTGCTACTCAAGCTAATGGAAATACATCAGAAAAGGTGCGACAGTGAACCCCATTTGTTATATCTGCATTTGATCATTATTTTAAGCYGAAAATCCATTTGAATCAACTAATAAAACCTCTTAAAAATGTATACCCTTCAAAAAATGAAAATTCCAATTGGCTGCCATCTTTTCTGGATATGTTCATTGCCAGCAGTGGTCTTCCCTTCKGAGCTCTGGACACCAAGGAATTAAAAGTGAATTAGACCAGACAGACTTTACCTGTACATGATTGCCTTTGTAGGAATTTAAGAATTTAATGAAATGTACTTTTAAAATATTCACAACCACTTTTATTCTATTGAGTGTGGAACCACCGAGTATTCGCACATAAAACTCAGGGTCTCCAAAAAGTTAAAAAGACTAGATCTGTTGGGACAGAGRTACTAAAGTTTGTTTCATTATATCCTATTTTCTTATAATCAGTTACCTAAAGATGCTGTCGTAGTCAGGGTTCTCTAGAGGAACAGAATCAACAGGAAGTATAATAATAAAAGSGGGACTTATTTAGTTGGCTTACACAACCAGAAGCTGGGTAGTCCACAATGGCYGGCTGCAGGCTGGAGAGCYGGAAGAACAGTAGCTGCACAGTCYAAGAGGCTGAAGCCRCAGAACAAGTGAGATCAATGGTGCTACCYTAGTSTGAGACWAAAGGCTTCTGGAGAATCCACTTGGAAGAGTGAAGAAACAAGATCTGATATCCTCAGATGATCACARCAGCAATCAAAAACCAGWAGAAGAAGAATRGAGCTYGCATCTACTGAGGCTTCCTTGTTCTYCCAACTTTTATTCTGTCCAAACCATCATCCTATTGGTCTGTGCTGCCCATGCTTAGGGGGGAGGGTCTCTATTTCAGTTGGCAGTCCCACATGCCAATCATTCYCAGAYACATCCTCACTGTCACACCCATAACCCTCTTAATCCTTGGCAGCTCTTAATCCAATCAAGTTGACAATTCAGATTAACCATTACAGATGTTATTTTAAGTGTCCCCCCTCAAACTCAGCATAGTAAATTATTTGTCAAACATTAAAAAATTACAAAATAGCATCCTYTTCAACTATTAGCAAAAGATTTAGTGAGCTGAAAATGTTTAAAGCAGCAATTTAAGGGGCTTATGAAGAGCATTTTCTGGTTCTAGTAAACATGTTATAAAAAAAGCATGCTGTGCATCAAGTACCAAGTGTTGTGTGAATAAAATTCAATTGAAGAAGTATTTCCTGAAAATAGTTAACACTTCAAGTACAAATTATCCACTTTGAGATTCCAGAGCTGTATCTCAGGATTTTGTATAAACTCCTCCCCAAATTTTGCTCATGGAGCAGAGCCACACAGTGGGTGCTCTGARGCTTACCTGTGTCATGGAACTTTGTAGAGTAAGCAGGGCCTTGGTGGCTCTTACCTCCCAGCTCAGCCCAAATTCTGCGTCCTGTGCCCGAGGTCATATCTGCTCCTTCCTTGGGTAGGATCAGAGTGATGATTTCAGGCTTGGGCAGGCCCTGTCCCAGAGCTGCCCCTGCTGTACTCTCGTCCCTCTTGCTTCTGCACTTGCTGCTGGTGACCCTTGCCCTTTGACTGGTCARTTCTGGTCTCCATGGCAACACACCCCACACCCTCTTTCTGGGCTGAGAGATGTAGGGGTGGCAGGAGGGGCAGGGAAGGTGGAACATGGAGGGCAGGTGAGGAGGGAGCCCTGGCCCTGTTCCTAAGTGTCTGACTTTYCCCCTCAGCAAGTGTGCACATCTGTTTTTATGGGTGTGTAAATATAAAGGATTCTCAAACTTAGCATTTTAAATATTCTGCATGTTAAGTGAATATGTCACTATGGAGTGGCCATTGCTMATAGTGTTTCTGTGGGAGTCAAAGCTAAAGCATTCATTCACTTATGCCACTATGAAGCCCTTTCTGATAGTGTCTGCTGTGCTGGGCTTTGTGCAGGTACTGGTGACATAATGACAAGCGACATGGCCCTGCCCTCTTCACACCTTCAGTTATAGAGGAGGTGGCCCAAATCACTGACCACAGAGGCGTATGAGTGTAACAGCCAAAGAATCAGGGACCAACAAGTTCCTCTGACAATGCTGGGCACGTGGGAGGCACCCAAACRTTTATGGAAAGTGCTAGAATTAGGGCATCAATAGATGAAGAAGTGCTTTCTTGTGGACCTGGACTTCGCTTATCTTATGGTACGGACTTGAAGGGAGATTGGTATGCTTTTGATTGCAGAAAGTTGTGTKGTAGAGATGACATGGGCTGGCATGKGTTCCCTTCCACATCAGGGCCCTGCCTCTTTATTTGCATGGGGAAGGGGATTTCGAGGCTTTGGAAAGAAGCTAGGTGGGGAATCCTGTAATTATTAGTGCTTTGGTTCACAGCTTTGGCCACAGACTTGGTTTTCTTTTTAAAGGGGCTGTTAGAGTTGTCATGCTGAAGACTACCAGGACTTCACCTCTGACTCCTTCCCTTGCCCAAGGTCCCAGGCTCATCTTGGCAAGCCATTTAATTCCCGTTATTTAATCTTCATTTTATCACATCCCAGAGGAATGAGTTCTGCCTCTGACTCTAATTTTATCAGGGTGCTTATCTTTAGAATTGTGAGGGGCAGACAATTAAACTTCTCCATCTTGATTGCAGTGTTCATGTTCAGTATTTTTTCTGTCAGGAAGAAACTGCTTTGTTGAAGAATACATAGCAGGCTGGTCAGGTGACAGAAGTGTAGTTATGTCCCCTTTTTCCTGGTGAAGACCTCTTGGGAACCATTACACAAACCTGTGATTGTTTTTCCTTTTTTCTTTCTCTTTGCAGATTTCTTTCAACCCGCAAGGGAACCGGCTTCTAACTGGCAGCTCTGACAAAACAGCCCGAATCTGGGACGCGCAGACTGGCCAGTGCCTGCAGGTCCTCGAGGGACACACTGATGAAATCTTTTCATGTGCTTTCAACTAYAAAGGCAACATAGTCATCACAGGTGTGGGAAGAACACAGCCGCAGACTTGGTGTTCCCTTTAAAGGGGCTGTTAGAGGTGTCATGCTAAAGGCTACAGGACTTCACCCCTGACTCTTACAACCCAACCATTTCACCCCTAAACCTTATTGCGTTGTCTCACACATGACCTTTTGGGAGACACCTATCTAAACCATAGCACCAGTGTTAACGAAAACGTGGATATTCCTAAAACACTGCCCCAACTGACCACGTGCTGTACTGTGAACCCAGTGTCAGATCCCTTCCCAAGATGAAAATCACGGGAGGCAGCAGGATTTTCCTGCAGGAGCCCCTGTAGCAAGGAGGAAGGTGGCTGTGTAGGCTCCCAGGGACCCGCCGTCCCGAGTCTTGAGTTTCATGTGAGGTTGGCTCTGAGGTGCCTCTTTCTCCAACCAATTTCACAGAAGATCTTGGAGACTATAAAAAAGAATGTTAGTTGTCTGTGCCTTGTTTAAGTGCTGGCACTTAAATCCCTGAGCTCTTTAAAGACACCATTGTTTTTTTTTTTTTACTGTATCCCAAAGCATCAAGTGCTAAAACCCAACCGACTGATGACAGTTTGTTAGAGTGGGGTTGCATCTCTGTCTTGCCACCAGCAGAACACCACTTTATTGAATTGGTCTGGGTGGACTATTTTCTGGGTGGACCCTCTTATGATTAATGGCATGTATTTTTARTGGACTGTCTGAGGTTGGCTCAGAATCACAGATTGGCAGAAAAGTGGCCAGTGTGTTCTTCCTTCTTTTCAAATGTGACGGGTCTCCTGTGGGCTGTGTGTGCAGTCTCCAATGGCTTCCCCAATTCCCACAGCCCTCACCCTTCTGGTGATGATGTTTGGACCTGGTCCCCGGAGGAGAGAGAACTACAGCTCCACTGCTGACATTCTGAAAAGCTTGTCACCCAAACCTGGAGTTACTCAAGTTGACTGTGCTTCTGTGGTAGGACTAGGATGTGGTGCTGCTCAATTCACAGTTGACTGGTATCATGGGAAAAGACAGAAGGAAGACCCCTATTTCAAAAGTGCCTGCACTGCTCAGAGTCTCTGCAGCTAGATGCTAAGAGTCTAGCACATTTAGCATATTGCTAAGTGGCAGTGACCYAGAAAATGTCAACTTGGTAAAATGAGAGAGTGAAGTGAATAAGAAAGAAAACAATGACTGTGAATYTTGTTTTCTCAGGTAGCAAGGACAATACCTGTAGGATATGGCGTTGACTGGAGAGGTCTGCGAGTGAGCAAACTTACCAGCAACTGTGGTCAAGACCCAGGGCTTCCTGAAGAAGAACAAGCTCTTCTGATAGTTCACACACTTTCCCTTCTTCTGCAAGCCCTCTCTTCATGCACTATCTTTGCATATAGAACTATTAAAACTGATGGTGTCTTATCATTTCTTGATGTTATTTGGTGGAAATGGCAGGAGCAGCTTAGGGTTTGGTGCCTCTAGTGATTTCAATCACATTTTATTTTTTTTAAAGAAAGAGAGAGAGAGAGAGAGAGAGAGAGAGAGAGAGAGAGAGAGAGAGAAAGAATATGAATTTTTTTTGTAGATGGACACAACACAATGCCTTTTTTTTTTTTTTTATGTAGTGCTGAGAATGGAACCCGCGTCCCGCCCATGCTAGGCAAGCACTGTACCACTGAGCCACAATCCCAGCCCTAACATTTTATTTTTTTAATAGTATTGTGATGCTGATAAGTGAAACCAGAATGATTTAGCAGTGTGTGGTCTATATTCCACTTAGAAGGCCATTGTTATAATTTCTGCTGAATAAAGTTTTGGGAGAAAACTTCTTATGAATTATWTATCTATATGTGTTTCAATGGTGATATGAGGATAATCAAAATAATTCTTATTTAATAGGAAAAATATTCCTAATTGATAATGGGCTGAAAAATGTAGGCAGGATTATCCCTAAGGAATGTTAAACAGAATAGATGCACTATTGAATTTAAAAACCTGCTAGGACAACAATCAAAGTATGAGAGAAAACAATTGAACCACCTGAGTATTGCTGGGATATTAAAATATAACTTTTTAAAAAGATTGTAAAAGTGCCCAAATGCATATTAAAGATTAATGCTAAAAGATAAAACACAAGCTAAAACTAATCATGCCTGAATTTAGAGCAGGAGAAATCATGAGAATCTTACAGAATTTTCTTCTTTTTCACAAAAGGCTTAATTGATATAAAAAAATACACATGCTTAATGTACACATCTTGAAGAGCTGGACATATGTACATGCCCGTGACACCACAGTCATGGTCAGGACACTGGCAACATCCACCACCTCCAACAATTTTAAGTGCAATTTTGAGCTGAAACTGTGGGAACTGTGCCGTAAGGCAGATCTCTACAGCTCCTTTCCTTAATAACGTAAGCCATGACCAATGTGGCTGAGAGCTCACCAGGATCCAGATATGGCCCTACATTTGCTTTTCATCCATAATTGGTTGAGTCCACKGATGCGGAGGGCTGAATGCATTTACTACCTCCCTATTCCTTCCACTTGTTCTTTCGCCTTAGTGGTCACCCTACTTWGAGTGGAATCATCATTGACTTTCTCCCTTATTTTCTCGGTCTGTCTACCAAATTGTAAACAGTTGCCTCAACTGAAAAATAAATCCAAGCTTCCCAGTCATTTTTCTCTTTTGATCTGTAACCTATAATCAATCTCATCATCAATATGGTACTAGAAAGTGAAATCTTCTAATTGATTGCCCTGGCTTCCTTCTGCCCTAACAGATTACTTTTTGAAATGAGCAGAAAAAATTTATATATTTTATAGGTTACAAGGCTTTTGCATAAATCAGTTCTTGAGTGTAATGAAGTTGGGATTATGAGCYCCAATTTAGAGATGAGAGTGTGTTTAGAAGTTGATATAACTTGAGTCTTTTACCCCATTTTGCCACTACCCTTCCCCGCCTGCCTTTCCTCTGGAACACTTTGGTTTTCATAGGAAATTCCCAGGATGGATGATGTCTGGGAATATGGAGAGGACAGGTAAAAGTAGTGGAGGAGTTCCCTGAGTTATACCTGAGGCCCAAACTACCAAGTCCAAAGTTTCCTCTTGTGTGTGGAGTTTCTGGTTGTATTATCTCCAAGCTTTACAATGAACTTATGACTTATTTGTGGACTTCAAGACTTGGGAATTCCAGATAAAATGGGAGCTGTGAATACCATGAAGGTGAGGGTATCCTCTGTTTAGCCCTCGGGGAGGTGTTGGACGCTTCGCCTGGAGCAAAGCGGCCTCCTCTGCTTGGGACTGTGGGACATTAACAAGTAATTGCCRCAGCAGGTCTTACTGAACAACCCCCACGGGTGAGACCTGGGAGAGGTTGCCCTRTTTTTGGTTGGTAAACCAGCACATCATTTGTTCTCTCCCTCCAGCGGGTGGCAGTGTTCACCTTTTGGCAGACAAGCTCCAGCTTTTCTTAAGAGCTACAAATGAAGAGTATAGAGTCATCTTCTTGCCCCATGTCCCTTACGGATCGGATCAGGGTTRTGTGGGGAGATACGAGAAGTGCTCAGGTTGTGGTGTGGCTCAAAACTCAGGACCATCTTGGCAGATCTGGGACAAATGCCACATCTCATCAATGCAGGGAAGAGACACTTTCCCATCTGCTTGTGCAGACACACAGGGAGGTGAAGAAGAGCGAGCTCCAGTTTTCTTCGTAGGTGCCTCTGTTTGGTACCATATTATGATCATTTATTTTATACTAACACAGTCTATCAAGGAATCAAAAACTCAAGTTTTTTAATACTAATATTTGATCAGAGTGAACATGGATTAGTTTTATGTTTGTAAAAAGTTTATTGTAATTTCAATGGATTGAGAGTCCGAATACTGTGAATACTTCTAATTTTACGGTTTTTATGTACCTGTAAAGCTAAAGGGTCCAGCTGGTTTACGTTTGGTTGTCAAAAGACACAAGTCTGAGACCAAGTTGGGAAAGGCTGCTTACTCCAACTTGTGGCAGGAGAGCCACCTGCTGGCCCTTTCATTCCAGCAGAGGTCAGAGGTTCAAAGAGAGTCAATTCTGTAGAGTAAAAAAGAGGAAATGCTTGATGGTGTCTCCCTGACAAGATGAGAACTTTGGAAACCTTCTAACTGGTTTTCAGGGACATGGGACAGTCCTTGGTTACCACAGGGGTTGTGCAAGAAGTTTGGAGATTTTAAAAGAGGAAGGAAGGCTCCTTGTGTGTGTGTGTGTGTGTGTGTGTGTGTGTGTGTACATGCATGCTGCCCATCTTCTGAAACAAGTGGAGGTCATGGTTGCCTTCTTGTTATCAGAACTTTATAATGGTCCTTGTCTAGGTGGAGGGTGGAGAGCCATGCCTGCTGGATGCTTGTGAGTGACAGTATCTTGGTGAATTGAATATGGACTCTCATATCCTGCCTCACTGCTTTTCGGCTCAGGGATGTTGAGAATGCAAACACTGCATCACTTGGTTTTCTTATCCATGGAATGAAACTAATGATAGAATGGGGAGAATCTGTGAGGATTAAATGATTCAATAGCCACGAAGAGCCTGGTACATGGTAGAGCCAYTTAGTGGTAGCCATATCATCCATGGACACTGCTTCAGTGACTTGGATTTAATGTATTCAAGACCCACAAAAGCATCCAAAGCACATTCAAGGCCCATTTTCTCATTAATATACTATGGTTTGGAGCATCCTTGTAATAAAGTGTCCCAATTCACYTTTCCCTAGGAAACAAAAGGGAAGTTCAAGAAATTCAGTGAATAACTTGAGTCCTCAGCTCTGGGGAAWTCTTATGCATTCAGGAATAAGAATAACATTTTGGCTCAGTGTAATAAACATGTAGGGTTGTGACTGAATCAGCCTGGGTTCTTACGGACCTTCTCCCATTTGCATAGTGCTGAACTTCTCCGAAAGTGAAAAGCCTCTCCCAGGCTGCACACACAGTGGAAATCATTGCTAATGAGGGGGGAGATGTAAATATCATTAATTAAGTGGAATTTAAAAATTCTTCTTGAAATTCTCTTCCCAGTACTGGACACAATAACATTCTTATTAAAAAAATCAGAATTTGTCAAATACATATCTTAAAGATGGGAACATTTCCCTAAGGTGTTCTGATGTGATCACTCAAATTTCAGTGCTTCTCATTGAAGGAATTGACAAACGCCCGCAAATTGGAATTTGAATGGCCCACAGTGCCAGTCAAAGAAGCCAGTGCCCATTTAGAGTAAATGGCTCCAGATGCACTTCTGGTTGATCTTTGGTAGTTTGGATTTTGGTTTATACAAATGTTTGAGGACCCCTGGGAAGGAAGCCTTTGTGGTGTTGCTCCTGGATTAGCATTTTACTTTATTTTCTATGCACTTTGGTATTGGCAGATATTTCTAGGAATCTCTTTCATCTTTAGTTGTGTAAATAGCAATTCCAGGGGGAATGTCTGAATTTCTGCCTACTTCGAATATGGTTTCCCATGTTTTCCCAAAGTAATGTCTATTCCTGGACTAGAGAATGATACTGGGCATTTTCCTCCAGGCAGGAGACTTGTGTTCCAGGTGTGCCTGAGGCAAAAGGACATGGGCAATGCTTTTCTAGGCCAGAAACTCTCTACCAGGAAGCCGGATAACAGTTACCGTGCTCTTGGGTTATGACCATGAATAAGCAATTAGACCAAATCATATGAAATTTGCTGATCTTGACAAATTTTGACCTACAAAAAGTAATTTCATATGGTTCAACCTAGTATATTGCTGTTTCTGGGTAGGGTGAGAGATTTTGTGCCCCGGCCGACCTCCAGCAGATCCTTGGTGGTGGCCCAATCCCTGTGACTGCAGCTGGGTGCAGAGGCAGAGGCAGGACCCAAAGGCTGCAGGGTCCTTGACRTATGATCACGGGGAGAAAACCCTCCTCACACGGGAGTGGCACGGGACACGGATTTTGGAATAACACAGGGTTCCKCTCACTATTCGATTCTTTATGAAGAAGTCAATTCTCCCGCCTGAGTTGGTGCCCTCATGGATCCAATGTRAGTATGATCACAGAATGAGATGAGATAACACTGAAGAAGCCCTCCATCAAGGCCTGTGGTGTACTTGATGGTCAATAGTGTTCTTGACTTTCCCTTTCTTCATCAGGAAGACACATTTCCAGGTTGGAATCTGGCTGGAGTGATGGGAAAGAGGAGGGTGAAGCTCTGCCCTGTCCCAGGGTGCGCAGGGAGCAGCCCCTGGCTCGT